ATCATACATAATTAGTGATATTGCTGAGATTCAAACCTAAGCCTGGGTCTGGCTCCAGAGACCACACTCTTAACCACTTTATGGCACAGCTTTGGAGTGTAGGAAACATCCAAGTGAAGATTGGAGTGGGTGGTCCGATGCCGTGTGAGTCAGGAGTTCAGAAGGGAAGTCTGGTCTAGCGATATGTAACTCGGGCATAGTTTAGTAGACAGATGATGCTAAAAGGTAAGTTTGGGTCAACCACCATAAAGGGAGACATGGTCTCAAGAAGATGAAACGATGAACTTAAACCCCCGAAAGACAGCCTGCCCTCTCAGATGTGATTAACCCTTTATGCTCCTTAGAGCCAAGAAGGGTGCAGGCCAAGCCACTGTGAATGCCCCCGAAATGCTGCCCTCTATGCTTCTGCCTGGAATGTCCTTCCTGCGATGCCTTGCTGGACAGACAGTTGGTGGTGGGGAAGGGACATATTCTCTACTGGCTACACAAGACTATTGCCCAGGGCAGAGAGTGGGAAAGAGGAACTGACCAAGAGCTGTTGTGTACAGGAACTTACAGTTTAAGGGGAGAGAGGCAAGACAGGAAATATAAACAAACAAGTAAAGTACAGTGTAATTTCTGTAATTGGGGATTCAGGTGTCTTCACGTTTGTTCTGTTATGAAGAGTAGAAGCTACAGGTAGAGTTGGGTGAAGTATGAGGAGTCACTCTCAGCGCAGTCTCATGGGGTGGGGGAGGGGGTCTCAGGAGAGGAGGGTGTTCGCTCTCAGTGGAGAGATAAGGGCTGGAATGATCACATTAGCATGTAGTGCAGAGGAGGCTGCAGCCCAGCTATGAGGGTGGACCAAATGGCCTTTAAGGTGCTTGGAACCTCAGCAGTCTGTAACCCTAAATCCCTTTCTTTGCCTTGGCCTGAGAATGTCATCTATACATTGAAGAAGGTTGGGCCAAATAAAGCTCCTTCTCATGTTGCCATTCTATGATACCTGCCAAATTGAAGGAAGATCCTATAATTGCTCCTAAAGTGGAAGGTGTCGGCAGTGACATGGCAGGGGTGTGATTACCCTTGGTTGCACAGTCTCTTGTGGAGCTGAATCTGGATCACTTTGCTTCCCAGATTAAATCCCCGACTTTCTTCTTGAGACGTGGCAGACATCCAGATTGCTAATTAAGTGACAACAAGTTGGCCACCTCAGTTCCAAAATCAGAAAATAAATGGGGTCTGGGGAAGAGAGATTGATTTTCTTTGGAACTGGAAAGGATTTTGAAAAAGGCATATTAACAAAGATACATTATTCAGGCTCAGTATTTACAAATCCCAAAGAAGCTTTTAGGGATTTAGGGATTTAATCTTTGACTTTTAAAATCTGCTTTTCATTGTCAGTCAGAATACCAGTGAGCATTTAAAAAACTGCAGGGAACAGTGAGACGGGCACTTACACATGGCAAGTGCAAGTACAAATCAATGGTCTTTCTAGAACGTAGTGTGGCAAAGTATGTGAAGACCCTTAACCATGTCCCTTCTTGTCACCTTCGCTGCTCTAGCTCTAATCTGAGCCTCATCATCTATTGACAGATGTTTACAATAGCCTGTGCGTGTCTTGACCCTTCTCCTTTCTTAGTCCATTTTTAATACAGCGATCAGAATGACTCTTTTCAAACATAAGTCAGATCATGTTATTCTGCTCAAAACCCCATGAGAAAATTAAAGTTACCATAACCTATACGGCTCTTCATGAGCTGACCAGCCCTTTATCTCTCTGACTTCTACTACTGTGCCCCTCACTTAGTCCACTTCAGCCACACGGGCCTCCTTGCTGGTCCTCAGACGTCCTCCATGCTCAGAACTTCGGGCTGTTGCACAAACTGTCCCCTTTGTGTTGCTCTCTTTCCAGCCATCTGCTCGGTTAACTCTGTTCCCTTCAAGTCTTTGGGAAAATCTTACCTTCTCATTGTGTCTTATGCTGGTTACCCTGTTTAATACTGCAGTGCCTGCCCCCCACGGCACCGTGGCACTTCCGATGTCTTTTTTTTTTTTTTTCTTTTTTAAAAATATTTTATTTATTTATCTTTGGAAGGAGAGAGGGAGAGAAACATCAATGTATGGTTGCCTTTTGTGGTCCCTGCGGGAATCTGAGGGAGGGGATGTGCCGGGGATAACCGATGTTGTGCAGGCCCGTGCTCAATCCACTGAGCTACACCAGCCAGGCCTCCGATGTCTTTTATCCTGCCCTTTTTCCCTTTCCCCTAGCATGTAAGACTGTGTTTGTTTATATTTACTATTTATTCACTCCTTTCACAACCTCTTGGAATCTAAGCTCCACAAAGGCAGGGGTCAGAGTGTCTGGCACAGAGTGCACACTCAGATATTTGTTGAGTGGATGAAATTTAAAAATAGCACTGTCTTTGACATAGAACAATTTACAGGGAAACAACAGATGAGGCTGAGATTCACATCAATGATTTGGAACATAAGGAAGAAAAAAACAACCAATCAGAGTAAGAAGAAAATAGAATCCAAAAAACTGAGGGTAGTGTAAGCAGCCTCTGGGACAACTTCAAGCATTCCAACTTTCTTATCATAGGGGTGCCAGAAGGAAAAGAGAAAGAGCCAGAAATTGGAAAACTATTGGAAAATAATGAAAAAAAATACTTCTGTGATTTGGTGAAGGAAATAGACATGCCAGTCCAGGAAGTACAGAGAGTCCCATACAAGATGGATGAAAACAGGCCCACTCTAAGCCACATCATAATTAAAATGCCACAGGTTAAAGATAAAGAGAGAATCTTAAAGCAGCAAGAGAAAAGCAGTTAGTTTCCTATGAGGGAGTTCCTATAAGACTGTCAGCTGTTTTCTTAAAAGAAACTTTGCAGGCTAGAAGGGATTGGCAAGAAATACTCAAAATCATGAAAAGCAGAGACTTAGAGCCAAGATTGTTCTACCCAGTGAAGCTAAATGTAGAATCGAAGGGCAGATAAAGAGCTTCCCAGGCAAGAAAAAATTAAAGGAGTTCATTCATCATCACCAAACCATTATTATGTGAAATGTTAAAGGGACTTAAGAAAAAGAAGATCAGAACTATGAACAATAAAATGGCAAAAATGCATATCTATCAACAATTGAATCTGAAAAACAAACTAAGCAAACAAGAACAGAGACAGAATCAAGGATACGGTGAGCGTTTTGATGGTCACCAGATGGGAAGGGAGGTAAGAGGGAATGGGTGAAGAGGTGAGGGGATTAAGAAGTACAAGCAGGTAGTTACAGAGTAGCCACGGGGATGTAAAGTACAACATAGGAAATGGAGTAGCGGAAGAACTTACATGCATGACCCATGGACATGAATATTGATTCGGGGATTGCCCAAGGGGGTGGGGGCTGCTTGGTGGAGGGAGGCAAAGGGGGAAAAATTAGGACGACTATAATAGCAGAATCAAAATATAATTTTTTAGAAAACCACAATGAAATACCACTTTACACCTACTAGGATGTGTGTAATCAAAATAACAGGTGTCGATGAGGATGTGGAGAAATTGGAAACCTCATGCGTTGCTTGTGGGAATACACAATTGTGCGGCCACTGTGATGATTCCTCAAAAACCTACATGTATAATTATCATATGACAACAACTTTGCTCCTCGGTATGTACCCAAAGAACTGAAATCAGGGCTCAAACAAGGATTGTATCCCAGTGTTCATAGGACCATTGTCGACAGTAGCCAAAAGGCAGGAAAAAACCCACGTGCCCATCAACAGATGGGTGGGTAAACAAAATGTGACGTAAATGCAGAGTGGAACGTTATTCAGCCGTGAAAAGGAATGATGTTCTGATACCTGCTACAACCCTGATGAGACTTGAAAACAGTATGCTAAGTCAGAGAAGCCAGACAGAAAAGGACAAATTGTACTATTTTATTTTGCTTACATAAAATATCTACACTAGGCAAATTAATAGAGACAAAGTAGATTAGAGATTAACAAGGAGCTATAGGGAGAGAGAATGGGAAGTTATTGCTAAAAGGGTACAGAATTTTTGTTTGGGGGCGATTAAAAAGTTTTAGAAACACCCCCTGGCTGGTGTGGCTCCGTGGATTGAGCGCTGGCCTGCGAACCAGAGGGTCAGTCGTTGGATTCCCAGTCAGGGCGCAGGCCTGGGTTGCAGGCCAGGTTCCCACCAGAGGGCACGTGAGAGGCAACCACACAGTGATGTTTCTCTTCCTCTCTCCCTCCCTTTCTCCCCTCTAAAAATAAATAAATAAAATCTTTTCAAAAATTTTAGAAACACATAGTGGGGATGGTTATACAACATGGTGAATCTAATTAATGCCACTGAATGGTACACTTAAAATGGTTAAAATCACAAATTTTGGTACATATACTTTGCCATAATAAAAAATTTCAAGGAAACCTCACAAAACACTGTATAAAACATGCATTGTGGGGTAGATCTGGTGTGTGCGGGTTCTCAAACCAATTGTGAGAACCTTTTCCCAGCTACTCATTCAGTAATGTTGGCCAGGGTGGGAGTTTCTGTACTATGGACCGCAGCAGATCCTACAAAACAGAGCTTCACCTCGGCTCCCTTAAGCTAGTCGTTAAGTACCAGCACACCACTGAGTGTGTGTGTATAAAGTAGCAGAGAAAACTGTTTGGAATACAGATGCCACGCTGTTACTACCGCCAGGGAGAAGAATGTGTGACAGGAATGTGAACGTGAACTCACACTTTTTATTGTACACGTGTCTATATTGTTTCAGTATTTTTACAGTGAGCATATAAACATATGTTTCTAGGTTTTTTTTTATGGACAGGGGATCTACATATGTTGGGACTGTGGTGTTGGTGGCTTTTTTCTTGAGAGGGTAAAAGCTAGTCACATACACCGTCTGAAGTGGCCCATGAAGAGGATGAAGGCCAAGCCTGGGACCTGGGTCTGTTTTCTCGGGAATTTGCTTTTCTTTTTGCCCAACTAAATGGAGCTTTTCTTGTCTCTTTTTAGGTTACCCCACAGCCTACCCAGCAGCGGCCCCTGCCTACAATCCCAGCCTGTACCCCACTAATAGCCCCAGTTACGCTCCAGGTAAGGAGAACACGGAGAGAATAGTGGTGAGTGGGGTGGGAGGTGGGATTTGCTCTATTTGGAAAAGCAAACCCACCTGCTGGCCTTTCTCTGCCCTTAATTGCTGTGGGCTCAGCTTGTCCAAATATGATTCTCCTGGGAGTTCCCTCTGGGAACTGGGGCAGTTCAGCCTTAGGGTGGGGGCAGGAGTAGAACTCCTCCATTCCACTGGGGACTTAAGGCTGGCCCATCTCTCCTTTATTGGAATGTCTGAGACATGCATCCTCCTCACAGAACCTTTTCTGTTTCCCTAACGGTGTCCAGATCCATTCTTTGCTCAGTTGCCCCTGAGGGTGTCATTGAGAATCCGTTTCTTTCTCTTTGTCTCTCTGTCACTCACGCACACACACACAGCCAACTTTCTGGGTGTGAATTGGGAAGTGAGAGACTTGCCACCAGTGGATAAAGAGCTGGTTTTCAAGCTGAAGCAAGGAGCTTGTTTTTCGAAAATAATAAAGACCCAACACTCCTTGGATGTTGAAATGGGTTTGGAAATGTTGAAAAGTTTGTTCCAGGTTGCGCTAGGAGCAGTACAGAGGTCTTCGCGCAGACCTTCCTTCCCACACCCAGCCGGTGCTTTGACACTCGGGGGCAGGAGAAGGAGCGTGGGCTCTGCAGTGAGACTGGGTTTGAATCCTGATTGCTCAACTCACTCGTTGTGAGGCCTTGGACAAGTTACCTCATGTCTGGGAAATCAGGGTTGTAGAGGGTTTTATGCAAGTTCTTCTTCATTCACACAGCAAGGATTTATTTGTTGAATGTTTCCCACTCTGGGATAGAAAAAAAGAAAGAATGCCACCTTCGCCTCAGTGGCTTACAGTCCGTTTGGGAGCTAGCATCTAAACAAATCCAAGGCTGTGCGGTGCTGTGGTACTGCGGAAGGCGTACGTGTAAGAGGAGAGGAAGCAGAAGAGGGAACAACAGTCTGCCTGAGCTCGTAGCGTAGGGGAGGCTTCCCAGAGGGGCTCGCGGTAGAGACTCGAGGGAGAAAGCAGGAGGCCCATAGCACTGGAGGCCCCGCTGAGAATGGAGGCCGGGAGTTTGTCCAGACCCTGTTCCCCAGCCCTGGAGTATTTCCTCGTGGTGTCCAGAGTTTGTGGGGAGAGAATGGTTGTAGGATTGGTATGGCAAGAAGGTAGAGGATGGCGAATAAATAGCAAATATTTGTTGAATGGCCCCTATGGGCAGGGCAGTATTTTAAGCTCTTTACGGGTATTATCTTGTTTCATATCTCAACAAACCTTTGAGGGTAGTACTGTTGGTATTCCATTTTCCAACTGGGAAAACTAAAACTCCGAAGTTAGGGAACCAGCACAGGATCCAAGCGCAGGCGTCCTGCCCTCACACCTGCATGTGCCCCTCACCACCTACACTGGGATTCGGCCGGAGAGACCGGGGCTTGGACGAGAGCAGCCCGGAGGAGGCTGAGACCGGAGAGTGGGGGCGGGGAATGGAGATCGGAAAGCTTCTGGCATAGGTAGAGTACTGATTAAGCTTTCATTTTAAAACAAACTCATTATCAGCCCTCATCAAACTTGATTTTCTTCAATTTTGTATTTTGAAAAGTCAGCATATTTCTAAGCTATGACTAAAACAACCCAGACCATTTTCTCAGAAATGCACAAAATCCATTAGAGAGGGTGGTATTAGCTCATCGTGTCAGAAAGCCCCAAACTGGGAATTGGAAGGTCAGGGTTATAGCGTGTGCACACACCTAGTCTGTGAAATATATTGGGAGGCTGGCCTCTGACCTCTCTGGGCCTCCTGACTGCAGGGGGGAGGTCCTGCTGGAGAGGAGCTCCGCCTGAGGACAGAGGGGTCACTGTAGATCACTTTCAGGGTCCTGCCAGAGACTGCCATTGTGATGCCCAGAGTTGCCTTCAGGGTAGAAACCTGCAAAGGAGCTAGGCCCTCAGGTGTACATTTCTCTCAGCTTCTTCAAGGAGACTAAAAAGTTTTTTCAGATAGTTATTTTCAGCAGTCTCAGTACCCTGATACATCAACTGTCCAGGGTGCAGGGAAACATTTCATTGGTTCTGAAGGCAACGTAGGTACTTTGAGCTTTCCCCCAAGCTCTTAATGACTTCTGGGACCTTAGTTAAAAAATATTTGCCCGCCCCCCCACTCTGCCAAGAGGCAGAGCCAACTGGATTTGTTTTCAGAATCTGGAGACCAAAGGATATGTCAGATTAATGGTAATCTGTCTTGAAAATGAAAGGAGAGGGGAGTGGGATAACTAATACAGGTAAGAATGAACTGTCTCCCAAGAAATCGGGTTGTAAATCGCTCTTACCTGTTGTCTCACTTGATTTCATAGCAGCCTTGCAAAGTACAAATCCGTTACTCCCATTCGACACAGAACAGTCCTGGGCAGAGGAAAGGGTTTCTGTTTCCTGGACGCCCACCACCTTCCGGTCCCTGTGCAAGGCGTGTCACAGACGGAGTTTTTCCCTGGTCTGAGAAGTTAGATCTCCTCCGATTTCGCCTCTGATTTTGCTCAGCGAGGTTAAATAACTTGTCCTAAGTTGCTCACCTAAAAAGCAGTGAAACTGGGATTCAAACCCAGCCCGTCGGACCCCCACCGCCTGTGCCCCTCCTACTGCACCACATTTCCCCAGAGGCCTCGGGGACTGAGGCGCCTTTGCACTGGTGCTAGCTCTCTGGGGCCTAATGGAGAACTCTCCAGAGGCCAAAATGATGCTAGCGCCCCTGAATCTTCATGTCCTCTAGTACATAAACTTTTCGTCATATGTGAAGTCTCTCTGCAGTACTTGGGAGAATTGAAATTTACTCTTAGCGCGGACAAGCAGAGAGCAGGAGCTTGGGCTTGTTCTTGTACAGGCAGCTTCTGGGTCAGCTGCCTCCCAGGCGCCCTCCTCAGTGAATGGGCTTTTCCGGATGGCAAGTCTGTCGCTCCCTCCTGGCTAGAGGCACTCCACACCCTCTGCATTCTGTTTCTTGTGTGGCTTGGGGTAAACTGCTAACTTGAGACAAAGTCTGTTTTGTAACTGCAATGTGTACTACTTTGCACAAATTCTTAGTGGTAATTTCAACTAACATTTCTATCCAACAGAGTTTCAGTTCCTGCATTCAGCTTATGGTAGGAGAGCTATTTTTCCTCATATGTATTATGGCCTATGAATGTGTTATCTCGTAACAATGGTAGATCCCTTCCCCTTTCCTCCCCAAATCCCATCCCCTAGGCTTGGGCTCCCCCAGGTGGCTCAGCAGCAGTTCCTAAAGCATGCAGGAACATGTCTGATGGTGCAAAATCATGGGTTGGAGACACACGTGAACCGTCCCCTAGGGCGGCAGTGAAGGATCATGGCACTAAAAGGCGTCTCCCCTTCCTCACCTCCGGGGTCCCGATCTGACCTGGGTCAGAAACTCTGCCCTGACCTGGCTGCTGAATTCAAACCAGTGAACAAAAGTTCCTGAGCCAGCGCGGCCCCCCTGCTGGCTCCGTGGCAGCCCCGAGGAGGAGTGCCTGGGTTATGCCTCCATCGGCAGGCAGTCCGGGGTGTCTGAAGACCTGGGTGACTAGAGATACAGGCTGTTTCCTTAGCCCAGACCTGGAGCTCTGGATCTTTTTCGGGGCATTTCCTGGATGGAAAGAGGTGAGGGTCAAGTGTGCTAAAATGAGCGAGGGACCAGGAGAGGGTTCTCTGGGCAGTGTGGACTCCAGGCCCAAGGCACCACAGGAACTTCTGGGCACCTGTGAGGGTCCCAGCAGTGTAACTTGACTAGGTCCTCTTTGTCATAGACAGGAAGGGACCATGGGAGGGACTTGTCACTTTTACCACCCTTACCTGGGCTGCTCAGGACGATGTTTTTGAAAAATCTCCGCATACTTTCTCAACTTCTGACTTTAAATTATTTGAATGATGAATACCGAATTTGTGTTTGGCGTATCTTTCAGGAGGCAAACTGTGAAAATTTCCCTTTGCCGCTCACTGCTGTGGACTGCGTGACCTTGGGCAATTTGCTGATGTTTGCAGGCTGTAGATAATGTGTTTTATTCAGATCATTTCTGAGGTCCCTTTAAACCAGCCTGTCCTCTTACAATTATAATATTTTCTTCTCCCCTGAGGACATTTTCCCATTGCTGAGAGAGAGAGAGAGAGATCGACATTAACGTCAGAGAGAAACATTGATTGGTCGCATTCTCGTACACACCCCAACTGGAGATCGACCCCGTAATGTAGGCATGTGCCCTGATGGGGAATTGAACCCACAACCTCGTGGTCTATGGGTGATGCACTAACCAACTGAGTCACACTGGCCAGAGGTACTTTTATTATTTCAATTTTGCTATTTACAGACTTGTTCCTCCTGTCCTCTACGGAGAGTCATTTTTTGGTTTGCATCAGGCTGTATGAAGTTGGACAGAAGATTCTGTAAAAAGTGGGAGAAGCTCTCGCGCTTCTCCCCCTCCAGTTAGCGCATCCACACACAGGTCTGTGCCAGGCCCTAAGCTGCCCTTTTGAATCAGGACTGGTAAGACAGGGTCCCTGTTTTGAAGGAGCTCGCAGTTTAGTAGGGAAGACCAAGAAACCAGGTTCTAAGAATTACAGGGACTGGGATAGCGAACCGATGGGGTCTGTGAGAAGGCTTTGTGGTAAGGGGTGAGGGAAAGAAGCACCTTCATCATACAGATGGATGAGTCTGCAGCTCATGATGATTGATGAATTACTAAATGTTTACCAGGTCGCATTTGGGGAGAGACTAGGCCAGGAGGAGCGAGCACTGTGAGCAGAATTCCAGACATGTGACGTTCCTTGGGCATCTCTGGGAATGAGAAACAGTTTGTGTGGCAGTGATGCAGGGTTGAAGAGAGAACAAGGGGGCGGCTAGAGAGGAGATCATAGGACTAGATCATGGGGCCTTGAATGCCACATAAGGGGTTCAGCCTTCGGGCTATATATAGGCAGTGGACAACCATTGAATGCTTAAGAAAGGTTTTGAGATTAGGTTTAGGTCTTTGAAATATCACTCTGGGTACAGCTTAGAGATTACAGCGGGTTTAACAACAGTGAACAATGAGGAAGCAGTTGCAGTAGTTCAGGGGAGAGATGAGAGTTTAAATTAGAGCCGTCCACGGCTGTGAGAAGGGAAGAGTAGACAGGGAGCAGGATTAGAAGCTGTAAAACTGGATGACACTTTGTTTTTGGTCCTCACACGAATACTGTGAAGTGAACAGGGAGTCATAGTTATTGCCATTTGTGAGACAACAAACTGAAGTTTAGAAGGGTTGTGACTTGCCCAAGTTCTCACAGTTAATGAGCGGCCCAGCCCAGGCTAGCTTTCAAATTTCCTGACTTACTGCATCGTTCAGGATGATGGTCCCTTGCTGCCTCTTCTCCTTGTAAGTGTGCTTAACGGACTGTTCAAGTGTCAGAGGGCGTGAGGGCGCCGTGTCCAGAGAAGTGAACAACCCAGCACCTGGAGGTGGGCAGCATGTTGTGACTGGGCCGTGGCCCTTCACCCCCAGGGGTTCGTCCTCTCTCTTCTTTTAAAGTGAAGAATAACACACACACTACAGTACATGCAGTGCACTAGTCTCAAATGTACAGCTCATTAATACTCAGCGTATGTATACACTTGTATTTAACCATCATCCAGTTCAAAATGCAGAAGCATTTCTAGGTGTCGGTACTTTTTGTGGCACCCAGGAGCAAACGTCGGAGCAGCCGCCTCGGTCGCCAGGCCTCTGCAGGTTCAGTTGGATTACGGCCGCCCTGCGGCTGAGCTCTGGGTCGCTTCCACCAGCAGAACAGTTACTTTAGAACTGCACACAGAGGAGGAAGATCACGTGGTACAGCTAACTAATGAGGGAGTCAGGTTGACAGCTGATACTCTCTTTTGTTTTTAGTCTTCCTATTTATCCTGTGATTTAAATTGTTAAAGTATTCAAATATATAAAGAAACATAGAAAATACTAATATTTGTTTCTTTGTAGTGAAACCAGAAGAAGATAACTTCTTCAGGACATGTGTAGTTTAGTTCACTTGATCACTTGGGAAAGACATGATCAAAGGCACAGTCGCACTTGCTCCTCTCCCGGCTAATCTGGAACGTTAGTTCGCCGTGTGTGTTGCTGTCTTGTTCACTCTCTGGCTGGCGCGTGGCTGTGTTGCATCCCCAGCTGGACCATAAGTGCCTCGTGTGCGGTGACCATGACCCACGTGTGTTCCTGTCCACCGTGGCGCTCCCCCCAGTGCTGAGTGCAGCAGGCCTCAGTCACTCTTTGGTTAATTTTGATGTACTTATTTTGTTGCACAGCCCTTCAGGCCAGTGCCAGACTTTTGGCTTATAATGAAAATTATGGTAAAGTATGCACAACTTGGGGAAACAGCTGGACTGGAACTGGACCTCCCAATTCTCCACATTCTCCGCAGCCAAATTTAGGCCTCCCGCCAGCCCCCGTGGGGCCTGGAGGGCACGGATTGGCTCTGTCTGACTTACCAGAGCTACCCGTTTCACTTTGGAGGGAGCTGCTTTGGGTGGGCAGGGCTGTCGGCCACATGGAGGGGCAGGCTCTAAATTTGGGGAGAGCTCGGTAAGATTTTTCAACACTAATTGGACCCTTTATTAATCCCCAACCTCTACTCACCCCCGCACACACCAGTCCCAGAAAAAGAAACCCCAGATAATTGTTTAAAGCTGACCGCCCTCGTCCCACGTTGTCCGCACAGCCGCGTCTCGATGTCCAGCCGAGGCCGCGGGCTCTGCAGGGAATTCTGCGGGGTCTCCGTTTCTTCTGCCAGAATTCTCCTTTAGTGTCACTCCCCTGCCCGTGATTTTCTTCTCATTTCTCAGCATCTGCTGTGTATATGGCGGGCCATTAATGCCAGCACCGCGCCAGCCCACAACAGCTACGTTTCTAGCATTGTTAATGAAAACAGCAGTCCTTGACCTTCTTCTCTGGGTGCAGTACCTTCACGATGGAAGGAACCAGAGCCATCCCCTGTCACTGGCGCAGGGGGTCAGGGATCTCCCCGGGGGTCCTGGTGGAATTAGGGTGCACAGATACACTTTCTCGTCATCACCCCCTGTCTCGCCTTAGCCCCTTGTTAAAATGTTTCCAGCATATCTAACTGTTGCCAGTACAGTCCCACCTCCTCCAAATATACTTTAAAATACCCCATGTCTGTGACTCCCAAGACCTTATTTGAATGGAAAAGATACTGCTAAAATCTTTTTCTTTCCCTATGTAGCAATTTGGGTCAAAAATGTTTCTCCTATACTGTGTGAAAGTATATCAAGGGAAATATCTAAAATGTTAGGCATTTCCCCCCTTTGAAACCCTATTTCCTCTCTCCTTCCCCACAGGATACCACGAAGGTAAGTTTCTTTGAGTTCTTCCCCACTTCTAGAACATAGGAAGCATCATCCTGCAAATTTTTCAAGCCGAGCTTTGAGTCCACTCTGTAGAATACTTTCAAACTGGGCCTCATCTGTTTCACAACTGCCTCAAGTTTGACATTTACTCTCTTAATGGCCCAAAAGCTCATCTCTAATTCATGAGAAGATGTCTCCCAGTGAGGGATGCTCCAGTGGCACCTCAGCAGAAGGTGTAAAGGGTGTGCAAGGGGTTTGGCCGTCGGACCCAGCTGGGCATACAACAGGGTTGAGCAGGGAGTGCCCCGCTGGCCGGCACGGGCCTCCTGAGCTGCCAAAGCCCAGTCCCTTTAGAACAGGTGGCGGTCCAGGAAGGTCCACGTCATGTAATTATTTCAGGGTCTGCCTTTGAAAGCAACAGACTAACTACACCTCCAGATGAGATCTCAGGCATAAAAAAAGAGCACTCAGTTGATCTGGCCCAATGGACAGTCAACTGCTCCAAGTTGCTACCCATTGATGAGAAAGCGGCTAAGGAATACTCCAGAGCCTTAGGCCAGAATGTCACACAGTAGGAGGAAGTATTCATGGGCATCTTCTTGGTTTTTGTGGTGGGCAGAAAATTCTGACTCCTAATTTAGCGTGAGCTCAGATTTCCTAGGTTTCAAACTGTTTGGAAGCTCACGTCAGCCCTCCTCCCCTCCGCCCGCCCAGCCTGCAAGGGCCGGCTGTCCTGGGTGTCCGAGCAGGGCCCCTCGCATTGTGTGTTTCCATCCAGCCCGAGACCCTTGCTTTGTGTCTGTGATTGTGGTGCCCACTTCTTATTTCTGCCTAATGCCATTCTTGTGTCTTTCCTTAAGCAACTCTGCTGATGAAACAGGCCTGGCCACAGAACTCGTCTTCCTGTGGCACTGAAGGCACCTTCCACCTCCCAGTGGACACCGGGACCGAGAACCGAACTTACCAAGCATCCTCTGCAGCTTTCAGTAAATACAGCCTGTTTCCTCCTTTCCTTGTTCCCTTTGGTTGGGGCTGATGCGTCTCTTAGGAAGAAAGGAAGGGGAATTTTAAAAGTGACATTTGCAAGATACTATTTTAAGAGGTTCCCTCACACCCCAAATTGGGCCTCCTCATACAGGAAAGGTTATCCTCTTTGATCGTGCAGCGGCTCTGGGTAGACACAGAGCAGTGAGGGAGGGAGAAGGAAGCGCTCACCCAGCCGGCGGGTTTGGTGAGGGGAGGGCAGAGGGAACATCGAACCCCTATGGGGTTCGATCCAATGCCCGGGGATCCAATGCTCGGTCCAAAGCCCGGGGACCTTTGGACAGAGAGGGCTGCTCCAGCCAGCACGAGGCTTCTCGGCCGTGGTGCTGCGGGCGTCCGGGCAGGTCGTGCTTCATTGTGAGGAGCTCTCCTGTGCGCTGTAAGGTGCTTGGCAGCAGCCAGTGCTGGCCTCTACACACTGGTTGCCGGTAGCAAACCTCATTATGGCTGTCAGAAATGCCTCCGAACAGTGCTAAATATCCTCTGGGAGGCCGGATTGCCCCCACGTGAGAAATGCCATCCTTGTGGAAGCTGCGCTGTGGGAGTAAAGCAGGTGTCTGGAGTCTCCGGGGGGGACAGAAGCCATCTGGCCAGTTGTGTTGGTCACACTCATCTTGAGGCTCGGTGAGGTGACTGATGGTTTTACCCTCACATCTGGTTTTTAGCACAGAATGGTTCCACTGGTAAAATGAGGACTGAAGTGTAGAAATTACTGAGCGGCCTTTTGCCTACACTCTGTGCCTTGTTGGGGCGCACCAGAGGCGGGGTGGCTGGCTTTGGACGAGACGAGTGCCTGCCTCTGAGGTTGTGCCAGCAGGGGCTGGAGAAGAACCAGGGGGCATTGCAGACTAGGCCCCAGAGTGTGTGATTCGGTGGATTATTAGTCCATTAAGTAAGTAGATCAGAAGAATACACGGAATGGTTTTTTTCTTTAAAATACCCACTGTCGTTTTCTTCTTAGTTATCTCTGCTCCTAGATGTGAGCATCACCTTGCATTTGTGTATAACAGACCTTTCCCCTGTTGGAGAACATGCTTTCACAATCATCCTCTCCTTTAATCTACACTGTAGTCCTATCACTTGTGTGGATTTTTATTTTATTTTGAAAGCTGAGGCCCAGAAAGGTCATATACCTTTCGCCATCCAGCTAGTAAGCAGTGCAACTAGAAAAAGGTGTCACACAGGTTAAGTTGCCGTCACTGTGTTTTTTTCGTGAGACTGACTGTATTCTTTAGAGGAGGGACGGCAGCAATAGGAAGTGTTTTCAGGTACCTGTGTCATTATGTATGTACATGGGCACATACATGTATCTGTAGGTCGTGGGCACGTCTGCACAGAGAGGCCTGGAGTAGAAGGCCCAGAGTGTTGGGTTCTAGATTTGGTTGTGTGTAATTCGTTTCCATGCTTTGGACCATGGTTTTTCCAACTGTAAAATACAGTCATCTTTTAAGGTTCTGTCCAGTTAGTAGACTCCTGAACCTGTCCCCTTGGTGCTAGGCACTCAGGACCCTCCGTTCCAGCAGGGACCTTCTCCCGAGCTGCCCTGACCAGTGACTGGTTCGCTAGCCTTGCTCACACATCTCCAGGTGTGGGGTGCTCATTCCCCCCAGAGGCAGCCCTCTCCACAGTGAGGAGCTCCTGAGTATTTTCAGAAGGCCTTGCCTTCTGTGTTGAAATCTTCCTGCCTTCCCATTGGAATGTCCAGTAGCTACATCCTGCTGCCCTCCCACAAGTTATCACAGTCCCTGCTCTTTTAAGCAAGTAATATGTCAACCAGCACAATTTTTAAATAGAGATGGGATTGATTGACCCTCCAGTAGCCATCGGGGTTCCTCCTGGCGCACAGATTTTGTGGCTTATAACGCCACAGAAAATTCTGGGCACCTGGATAAATTCAGTTCAATTTCACCAACACTTGCTAAGCTTCTTTGTAATTAGGTCTCCCTCCTACTTACTCAGCACTCTCTTGTTCAGCTACCAACAAGGAGACTTGAGGGTCAAGGCAAGAATCAGACATAGGGCTTTGTCCAGACACATAAATATAATGGTCAATAAACCAATTAGTCCACAAGGCACCCTCGATGTAAGGATCAATGCCTCTGAAGGTGTGAGGGCCTTCGGCAGAAACAGACTTACGATAGTGCAGGGCTGCGAGAGGCCTGGAAGGTTTTCCCTACCTGATCTGCGTGCTCCCTTCATTGTCCTGTGTGGTGGAGCCTAGGTTATGGTTAGGAACCTGAGAGAAAGAAAAGGGTGTCATAAACAAATCCTCTTTTATGGCAAAGCTGGGACTTCTGGTGATCAAATTCCTTTTTCCTTCACAATACTGCCTTCAGTGAAATGATGGCACAAAGGCTGATACACCAAATGCCCCAGACTCTGGGCCTAGCTCTGCACTGATCTGCTGTATGATGCCGGGGAAGCCTCTGCCCCTCTGGGCTCCAGGGTTCTTCATCTGAAGCAGAGAGCATTGAATTCAAGTCTGGCGTGTCCTTAAGGTGTAGTGTTCCAGACACCTGACTCTGCGACCTTCAGGCTTAGCTACAACTCCTTTAACGAGAGGCCTCCCATGAGTAAGTTGAGTCTGTACATTTGAGCAAACTGCGTGAGGTTTTTTGCATGAAACCCAATAGCTTCTTTTACTTAGATGCACAAAGTAATGACGACCTTGAAGGTAGCCCAGGCCACAGCCCAGGGGATTTTCCAGTGGTCCTCAAGGGTATGAACAGGACCACCAGTCAGTTGTGGAAAGTCCTCTGCAATGATTTCTTCATAAAAATTTCGATGAAATACTCAAAATGTCAGCATTAGAGAGGTCCTTCTGATATCATCTAGTCCAAATGAGGGCATTTCTTGAACTAATAATTGACCCGATTCATGGTGACAGGGTCCAGGATGGGACCCTGGGCAGCTTCTGCAGCCTCTGACCCAGGTGGTAACCTTGGGAACCACTGCAGATAGAGGAAGGAGCACCGAGTCCTGAGTCCTTGCGGGCAGTCGCTCGCTCTCTCCGCATCTGGTCATTCTCACCTGTGAGACGTGCGTCGGTCCTAGTGATCTCTGAGGGCTGTTCCAGCTCTGCGAGTCCGCCTCCCCCTCTCGGACTGTCTGGACAAACAGGCCAGGCCTTCTGCAGCGTCATCAGTTCGGCTGCCAGGGATGCTTTGGATACTGATTTGTATTCTGAGTAGGTGTGTGTCTTCATTTCATAACATGAAAAAAAGGGAAACAGTCTCAGACAAGGTTATTCTTAGATGTGGAAACCAAATTCTACTGCAGTCTCTTGGAGCCTTTTGATTGTTGTCAGAGGGATGATCTCAACACTGTGTAGGACGGTTGTCCTTGTGGCGTAGAGGGGGACGGTCGTCCTTGTGGCGTGGAGACGTGCAGGCTTCCCCCAGGGACCAAAACTCCAGAGCACGTTCTCAGGAAGCATGAGGGAGAGTCACTGGCATTGCTGGCTTCTTAGCCTTAAAGAATCATAAAACAGTGGCATTTTAGACCAAAAAATATTAGCGTCTTAGAATCTTGAACTCTGTGTTTCTGTTGGATCACGCCATGGAAGTCATAGTTTAACCTCCCATGTCCTGGAGTCCAATCTCTGCTCGGACACCCCCAGGACAAGAAGCTCACTATCTCTCTATATAGTCAGAGAAGAAGAATAAAAGCAAACCTTTATGTAGTGTTTTTAACATAGTAGGCACTCTCTAAAGGCTTTGTACTTACTCATGAATTTATCACAGTTACCCTATGAAGTAGGTACTGTTTTCACACTCTTCTCCCATTGTTCTGGTTAGCAGACTGGTATATTCTACAGCTGTCAAGTAGCGGAGCTGGGGTTCGGGCCCAGGCGGTCAGTCTGGCTGTCGGCCGTGACCAGACGCCGTGCTGAATCGCTTCAGGGACAGGCATCTCAGGGCTCGGGGTGTCCTCCCCTCCTGTGAGGAGAGATGCTGTGCATTTTGGCGGGACTCCTCATACCTTGTTTTATCCTCGTAAATCATGAGTTGGCAAGATAATCAATATTTTAGGCTTTTCGGGCCACATGGTCTCTGTTGTGACTACCACTGTAGCAGGAAAACAGCCATAGTCACTGTGTAAGTGAACAGGCATGGCTGTGTTACTGTAAAACTTTTTTTACCAAAACAGGCCGCAGTTACCAAAAACTGCAGTTTGCCTGGTTTAAATGCTAGTGGTATGAATAAAAGATTCTGTGATAAAATAAATTGAGAATAGTGTCCTGCCATGTCCCTATCTTCATCCTATCATTTTAAAACTTCTCAGGGTCGTTGAATAAAAAACAAACCAACTTCCCTGGCTGGTGTAGCTCAGTGGACTGAGTGCTGGCCTGGGAACTGAAAGGTCGCTGGTTCCATTCCCAGTCAAGGGCACATGCCTGGGTTGCGGACCAGGTCCCCAGTAAGGGGTGCGGAAGAGGCAACCACACATTGATGTTTCTCTCCCTCTCATTCTCCCTCCTTTCCCTTCTCTCTAAAAATAAATAAATAAAATTAAAAACAGACAAAAACAAACAAATTTATTCATCTCTGTTTTATGTTGCTGCTGCTTCCTTTCTTTTTCCTTCCTCCCTCCCCCAAACAATGATTAAGATCCCTTGGCGTCCCTTGTGTATTCTTGGGACACACCCGATCCCCTTTGGTTTACAGGCAAAACCGCATCTCTAAGGCGAAATAACCCTCAGATGGCTCCTTCTACATGTCTGCAAACCTAGATTCCCTGTGTCTCCCATGGTTTCTGCTTCTCATTATATGGCCACCTCTTGTGATTAGCTCCACAGGCAAGAAACTGGGAGGAGCCTGCTACAGGCTCCTCCCCCAGATGGCTCCTCCCCCCGCTGACTTGCATTGCCCCTGCCAGCTGCTTTCTGGTTCTCATCAGTGCTCCCTTCTCTCTAATATGTTCTTCCCACTCCATCTTCATTGCTACTTACTTCCCAAGTGAATTTGACCACAAAATGGGTTTCTCATGGAACCAACTGGTTATCTCCAGGTGGAAAGATAATTCCAGAGAGAATAAAGGACACATTTTATGGTGCCTTTGTGATGACTCCCATATCCTACCAACTCACTGGGGTCATGGGGGCCCCGGGGCAGGGCTGTGGTGTGGACTGAGACAGAGGTGCAACAGTACAGCACTGTCCGTTCAACCCAGAAGGGAGACGTTTCCTACAAAGACTTGCCTTTGCTGAGCCCCAGGTCCCCTTGTATAGACCCTCGAGTTCCATGCCGTTGTTCATTTTGGGATTCTTGTACCTGTGCGATGGCACATGTCATGTTTTTCCTGCGCATGTAGAATTGCATTCTCTTTTCCAGAAGATTTGAAGGCAGCACAGTTTGTTTGAATGGCTGATTGTGTGTTTCTTGGGACCTAACTTCTCAGCCTCGCCCCCAGCTTTTGTCTGCCCTGCTGAGCTACCCACGCGGCCTGGACTCCAGATCGATGGGAACCTCTGTGACCTCTGACTGCAGGCCCTCGGGCAGAGGTGCCCTCCAAGCCCCAGGAGGAGAGGAAAAGCCCTTTGTAGAGCCAAGTTTTTTAGTGTCTCTGAAGTTGAGGGTCTCTGAGTGGTGTTTTGTATGGCGTTTTCACCTCAAAACTTGGCAGGAAGAAAGAAGAATATGGTGGAGGGAGAGCAATATGAGGGGGAAAATAGAGTAAGGGGAGAAGCAAGACAGAAACAGCAGCAGAAGGTGTCCTGGGTGCTTATGAAGAGAAAGGCAGGAGGACCGTGCAGTGAAGAGCGAGCAGGCTGAGGCTCTCCCCTCTGTATCTCAGAAGCCCGACCGTCAGAGCTGCAAGGGTCCTTTAAGAGGTCATCTGGTTCCATCCGTTTTTTCACAGATGAGGCCCTGAGACCCAGAGAAATAAAAGATGCCAGAGTCACACGTGCAGCCCTGTGCACCAGGACTGAGGGAGCTGCCTCTGGGGCCAGGGCTCTTGGGGTGGAGCCCTGTTCTCTGTTCTCATCTGTGTTTCCAGCCTGGATTCAGCCCATCCTTGTCTGGGGAGTCATGACTGGCACCTGCTACCTTCCAATGATGCTGTTCTGCCAACTAATCGGAAGTCTCTCTTATTGCCTTGGTACAGGATATACTGCGGGGACACCATACAAGGTCCCACCGACCCAGAGCAGTACTGCTCCGCCCCCGTACTCCCCCTCACCCAACCCCTATCAGACGGCCATGTATCCAATCAGAAGTGCCTACCCCCAGCAGAATCTGTATGCCCAGGTAGGTACCTGCGGAAGCCTGGGCCCACCTCTCCTGCGGGTAAAGGAACCACCAGTCTCGGCGGGTGGGTGCGGGTAAGAAAGAAAAGGAAGGGGAGTGTGACCCTGAAACAATGGCCCTGCAGTCCACACACTCCCTCACTTGACCTCAGCCCCCGGGAGCAGAGTGGTGGGAGGGGGCGACACACCAGTCCCTGAGATCAGTGGAGCCTAGAAGGCGAGAGGGCCAAGGGCCCTTGGGATCCTCTAGCTCAGCTGGGGCATCTGACACCCAGAGAGGGAATCGACTTGTCCGAGGATGCACAGGGAGCTGTTGGTTGAGTCCCGATGAGACCCCTTATGTCTTGGGCATCTATCTCTCCGTACTCCCCAAATCGACCCTTCCTTGGTAAAGTTTGTGAGTGGGGGTGAGATAAGGGCCCGGGCTCTGCCACCAGCTCCTGTAACCTCGGGCCGGTCTCCCTCTGGGCCTTAGCGCCCCCTCTGGGCGCCTTCAGCTGGAGAACGTGTGCACACTGGGGCGGCTGTGCTGCAGTGACTGTACAGGGCTCTGACGTGCTCGAGGGACACTTTTCTGGAGGGATGATTCTATGTGAGGTTTAAGTAGTAAGGAGAACACTTTTTAAATGTAAAAAACTCCCTGGCCGGTGTAGCTCAGTGGATTGAGTGCAGGCTGCAAACCAAAGGGTTTCCAGTTTGATTCCCAGCCAGGGCACATGCCTGGGTTGCGGGCCAGGGCCCCATGAGGGACTACGTGAGAGGCAACCACACACTGATGTTTCTCTCCCCCTCTTTCTCCTTCCCTTCCCATCTCTCTAAAAATAAATAAATAAAACCTGTAAATTTAAAGATTAAAAAAAATGTTTTTCTTAGCCAGTCAAATTGAGTAGTGGTGGGGTTGTTTTCCAACTTTAGTGACACTAATGTTAGTTGAGTTCTGATAACCCACTACTATCAGACCAGCCAAAAAAAATGTAAAAACAGCTCTTTTGTAGAGTAGGTGAGACACTCTCCAAGGAAAGTGGGCTTGAGATAAATTTGTCTTGTTTGTGGCAGGCTGCTTTGCACTCTGCTCTCAGATCTCGGGTTACAGAGCCTATCCTGAAACTGTTGTCATTATTTAACAGAAATACTTGAGAAACTCTGGGTTAAGATGCTCCAGGAACCCCTGTCTGTTCCCCCTGAGGGCCAGCAGGCCTGGCTGTGGTAGCGGGAAGCAGCCACGTGACCCAGGCAGTGGGAAGCCCCTCAGACCATTGTTCGTGTCCTCCACCTTTTCTTCGAAAGGGAAATAGGTGTGAGAGACATCTCAGGGAAATGCCCTGCAGGTAGGACATCTTCCCGCGCCCACTAGTCATCCCTCACATCCTCTTCACTCACTGTGGTCTCTGCCTTTGCATTTAGGCAGCTCATAGAGCACAATGCAGTAAAGCACAAACATTTTAATATGCTGAGATCAGTGTTAAGGGAGTAGTGCTATTACCCCACTAGATGATCCTAGCGGCCCTAGGAACAAGGTAGGACAGGGTTGAGCCTTGCTTTTTGGACCAGAAGCAGAGCCCCAACTGGGGCCCATACCCTGTGTCCCCAGACAGTGTTTCTCTGACCCCATCTCTTAGGGTCTAAAAGGAATAGGCTCCCACCCCTCTCCGCCTCCCCACATCCCACCTATGTCTTTAAAAGCCTGTGTGACCGCAGCCTCTTTCCCTCCAGGGAGCCTACTACACACAGCCAGTGTACGCTGCCCAGCCCCACGTCATCCACCACACCACGGTCGTCCAGCCCAACAGCATTCCCTCTGCCATCTACCCGGCACCTGTAGCCGCCCCCAGGACCAACGGCGTGGCCATGGGCATGGTGGCCGGCACCACCATGGCGATGTCAGCAGGTGGGGGTCACCTCTGTGTCAGTGTCCACCTGTCCCTCTCTTCCAGGCACTCATGACATAGTGGAAAACAGTCATGGAATCGACTGTAGCATAGTAGGAGAAATGCTAAACCAGGGGCCTGTGGGAACCCAGAGGAAAGATCCTTTAAATCTGTCCACAGGGATGAGGAAGATTTCAGAAGGAGGCATATTGAGCTAGACAACTTAAAGGGTGAACAGAGGCTAACCAGAGAAATGAAAGAGGGAAGGGCCATCCGGGCGGACGACCACGAGTGTGGCATGTTCACAGAATGAAGATGGTCCAAGGCACTTAGAAAGGAGTGTGGAGTTGGAAGGGTGGCTGGAGCAGTTGGCAAAGATAAAGTAGGGGAGAGAATACCTTTAGCGAACGAGGAGCTAGCAGAGGGGTTTAGGCAGAGGAGAAATGAGGCTTGCTTTAAACGTTCTCTCTGGTTGCAAGATGGAGGCAGGAGGAGGCGTGGAGAGGCTGGACAGGCGTGGGTCTGGGGAGGCTGTGGTCAGAGACGACGGCACTGCCAGGACTGATGGCGGCAGGGGTTCTAGGAAGGAGGCTGTGGGGCAGTGTTACTTAGCAGGCAGGAGCTTAACGACCTGTCCAGTAATTAACTGTGGGAGAAGCAGGAGTCCAGAAGGACCCTTCTCCATTTCTGGCTTATTCCAGAAATGAGACCAGAGCCCTGCCCCTCGGGAGCCTTGGGGGTGGGGGCGGGAGAGATGCCGGAGGAAGAGCAGGGTGAGGGAAGTCCTGATGGCTGCACGTTCCAAAGAGCATGAGAAGACAAGGGCCAGTGATGATTTTTAAGAGCCCCAACTTCTAAAGAATCAGCTGGGTCACCTTTTGAGGGGTCGAGTGGGCAGGAGGTAGGTGTTGGGGATTTTATCCTGACCCTAATGTGAGGGATTGTTGGGGCCTCTCATCTCCCAGATCAGGTCAGGGAGCTACTGAATATCTCTTGGTACCAGCCTTTTGTTCAGGTCCTGGGGACCAGTTGCCAGTAGGTCAGACCAGAGCCCGCCCTTGGAAGCAGCAAGGTTAGCAGGAAACACAACCACATAAACCAGCTAATGCCCCTCAGTGTGATGTTCCCGCCCCGAGAGGAGGCTGCTGGGAAGGGCGGTGGGCTCTGTCCTGGAGCGGCAGGAACGCTTTCCCTGAGCAGACAGATGCTGGCAAGGTGGGGCGGGGCGGGCGGCCGTTCAGGAGCCGGCTGGGCGGCGGGGGCCCAGAGGGAGCAGCAGCGGGAGACGGTGGCTTCCTCCTCGTCCCCGTGCCCTGGGACAGCCTCTTCAGCTTGCTCTTCTCTCTCTGGATGCTCAGGGACCCTGCTGACTGCCCCCCAGCACACCGCGATTGGGGCACACCCTGTCTCCATGCCAACATACAGGGCCCAGGGGACCCCCGCGTACAGCTATGTGCCGCCGCACTGGTAAAGCCTGCAGCCCATCCAAGTGAGTGGGGCCTGGGGCGGGAGGGCAGGCGGGTGACCGAACATGGACCTGCTTCACTGTCCCTGGCCTGATCTGAAGCAGAGGTGTCAGCAAGGCAGAGGACTATTACCACCTGCTTTCATGCTTAAGTTCAGTAATATTACCCTTAATAGCTGTCACTTTGCATATATTCTAGGTACTTTACATGGTATCTCATAATTCTTACAGTAGCTCTGAAAAAGATCATCCGTTCTGTTGTACAGATAAATACATAGTTTGGCATCACTTACCCAGTAAAAATGAGGCTGGGACTTGAACTCCAGTTCTCTAGTACTAACTTCTGTACTTTTTACTGTATGCTCTTCACACTTGTTTTAATTGTGGGTACCATTCTTCAACCTAAATCTTACCTCAGCCAAATGTTGCCTGTGACTGGGGCCACGTGGAGACCGCAGGCCAGCACCCACCGGCCACTCCCCGTCTGCCCATGGCAGCTCCTCGGCAGGGCCAGGGAGCCCGGGCTGCCAGGGCTGTCGGTTTGAAGTCCCCTGCCCTCCACGTCCTGCACAGCAGGCAGCTCCCCTGGGGAGGCACAGAGGGCTCCCTCAGTCAGGGGAGGGCAGCCATTGGCTTCCCGAAGTGGCCTTGCGAGTGTCACTGTCCCTGACGGCTTTTTCCTTCTCCCCCCAGATCTGGAGTCACACATTGTATGCAACTACTCAAGTCTTACACAGGTGCTGGAGCAGTTCCCTGGCAGCCGCACCTCTATTTGCAAGAAGAGACAACGGAAGTGCAAGGGTCACTTTATGCATCTTTAACGGTTTTGGTTTTTATTTTTGATTTTTGTAAAAGCTGCTTTTTAAAATCTCCCGCCTCTCCTCGTAGCTGCTGCCCTTCCAGCTCTGTCCCTTCTCCCGCCTGACCAGGCACTTCCTCTCTGCTCTCCTTCCCGTCCCCCAGCATCCATTCCCTGGGGTCCCATCTGATGGCAAATAGAGGGGGGGTTTCCTGCAGGGGTTCAGGGGAAGGTGCTGTTTCCTTCAGAGAGTGTGACAGATGGAGCCCCCCGGTCCAGGGTGGCACTCGGAGCTGCTGAGCAGGCTACATCTTTGGGGGATTGTTTCCTTTTTTGTTTTTCTCAAGCAAGATTCGTCTAGGACATTACCATGTCCTGACTCCAATGAAATGTGTTCTGAGAACCATTGGAACAGACCAAGAACAAAACCACCCGATTAGTTAGGAGTGTTTGTAGCAGCTTAATATAGCAGCTCCCATTCTTTCGTTGGGAGAACTTGGCGGGGTGGGGGGCAGTTCGGGAGGGACGAGGGGGGAGGCGCTTACCTGCTGGCTTTGGTTTGCGAGGTCTCTGGCCAGACTGCACCGCCTCGACCCTCTCATTTGCACGGCAGTGCGGACTGACCCGGCATTTCCTCAGAAGTTGGTTTGGACCTCAGACCTGCTAAGCAGCTGCAGGGTGCGGGGATCCCGGCCTCTCAGAGCCTTGGAGGGCCAGGTACCCTCTGTAATCCAGACCTTGGCCTCGGAGCCCTCATGGACCCACTCTGGTGAGGATCCACCTCCTGATTAGAGTGGGGACCTGTGGTGTTTCTCTCCCTTCCTTCTGCCCTTCCCAGGGCCAGGACTCACCCATCTGTCCGTGGGGCCGGCAGGCAGGCCAGGCTCTTGGTTACCTTTGCCACTCACGGCCAAGGTGAGGGAACCACATTCCAGATGGGTGCTGGTGGCTTTGAAGGTCAGAATAGTGAAGGAAAGCAATAGCAATAAACATTTCATAGACTCATGGAACAGAAGGGACCTTAGCAATCATCTCATCCATTCCCCTGTTCGACAGAGGAGGAAGCCGAGGCTGAGAGAAGAGGAGAGGACTTCCCTGGAGCTTGTAGTAAGTTAGCATTAAATGCAGCCTTCCCACCTAGGGGCATGTCGCCCACAAACATTCACCTAGGGATGGATCGTCTTGGTTTTATAAAAATTAAGGCAGCAGGGCCCACATCTGGTGAGCTCTGAAACAGCATGTCTGGGTTTTTGTTCTTTTCCTCCACGAACTCCAAAGGCAGGGGTTAAAAACTGGGCAGAGGTTACATGGGGGCAGATGGCGGGAACAGAAATCGCAAGAGAAGAAATAGCATTTGGTAATTCTGTGAAGAGGTTTGGAACTCTCGTCCCATACCTGATTCCAACCCTAGGAGAACAGGCAGGTGGGCCACCTGAGAGTGTGTTTGAGGACAGCAGCTCCTCATCCTCAGCAGGGAGGAGGACGAGGGAGAGGCCCAGGAAACATGGGACCTCCTGGGAGAAGAGGGGTTCCTTGGACAGGAGGCTCTGCTCGTCTCAGCAAGAGGCTGGTCCATCCAGCACTGTCCCCCTGTACCCAGCACTTGGCTGGGCCAGCAGCCCCCCAGTGGGGCTGGGGACATTTTACTGTACAAAGTGCGATCATTGATAACATTTGGGACTTTTAAGTAACTTTTTCTGTTTAAATTCATGCAAACTTGGACATATCCTTACCCCTACCTCCTTTACTCCCTAAAGGAGGAAAAATTCAGGAACCCTCGAGCCAGAAGGACCTCAGAGGTTGTCTGGCCAGTCCTAGATGGGCAAAGCCCATCAGCATCCTTAGCCCAGAGCCAGGAGTTGGGGCCCACCTTCTTGGCCTTCCAGGGACCTGTAGGACCAGCAAAGAGAAACCCAACTATTCTAAATGGTCTGTCGAAGTTTCATTTTAAAACAAAGTTTTCCAGTGTTAATCCATTTTTTTTTTTTTTTCAAATACCTCCTCCTACTCTCTGGTTTTGTAAGGGTAGATGAAGGGTGGTTATATTATGTTTGGAAAATGCCAAAATAATGATAATAATAGTAAGAGGGAACTTCTGCATTTGTCAGGTGCTTCATAGGTTTCAGAGCACTTCACGGCCTTTAATGTACCGGCCCCGGGACAGAGAGACAGGGTCAGACAAGGAAACTGGGTCTAGAGCAAAGGGAACTGCCCCAAGTGAGCAGCTGCTGGTGTCCCGACAGCCTCCCCTGGTCCCTGCCACCCGCAAAGGGCTGGAGTAGGGCCGCAGAGACAAGGGAGAAAGGGGAGACTTAGGAATGACCTTGTTATTTCTGTTCTTTCCACACCAGTAAGTAAAAACTAATGTCTGGTACCTTGTAGTTCACAGAGCAACTTCCCATCCACCCTCTGCTATAACCCTGTGAATTAGAGTGTTCCTCCCGTTTGATTCATGAGGAAACTCAGAGTGACTTGCTCCAAAGTGGCAGAGCCACTCGAATCCCAGTCTGTCTGCTGTCTTTTCCCTCCAGTCTGACTCCACCAAACACAGCCGTGCAGACGGAGACCTCTGCACCCTCTCTCAGCCCTAGTCTGCAATTCGGAATCCTGTTAGGCCCCAGGGCGTAAACAAAGCTGTGGTCTGGAAGAGCCGAGCCCAGTGCCCCTGTTTCAGTATGATTGTTGGAGCCCCAGCTCCGCTGGCCGCACCCTCTGGCTTCGATGGAGATCCGCAGGCCTGGCCAGGCTTGGGGAATCGTCGCGGAGGGCCTGAGCTGGGGGGCCGGGGCGGCGCTGTGCTTTGCTGGGGTGAGCACACCCGGTAGTCTGACGGGGGTCTGTCAGGAGGCACCATGGGCGTCACCCAAAGATACCGGGTGACCCACTGGTCAGGCCGGACAAAAGGTCAGAGCTGGAAGGGCCCTGTCATTGTAGGAAGGCCAGCAAGCCGGAGGACGGGGGTGTGCCCACCTGACAGTGAGCTGCAGTGCTGGTCCCACTTGCCACCCCCCACCCCCCCAAACCACGGCTGGGCGGCCAGCATCTGGGGTGCCAGTGGTTCCACAACCAGCCCTCCTCACTTCCCCCTCTTCTGTCTGAATCCCTCTCAGTCTGGGGCCCAGAAAGCTGTGGTGCCCCCAGATGGTGAGAGCCTGAAGCAGTCTGCCACATTTTGGAAAAAATGTTTAAAATTTCTTCCCCACGAGACAGGGCAGTTGCTGCTTCTCTCTCTCTCTCTCTACTAGCAATGACCCTGAAGTGAAATTCTGTTCTCATCCCTTAAATATTGAACAGGACACATACTTATTCTGAGTGGCTTTTCATGTACAAAGTACTTTGACATTGATTGCCAAAATACCCATTTTGTAGATGGAAAAAACTAAGTCTCAGAGGCTTAAAAGACTTGCCAAAGGTCACAGAGCTCAGAAGAGAAAGCCAGCGTTTGAACTCTTCAGATCCCTGGCCTTCTGGTGGTACCTGCTGGGTCCGAGTGGCAGGCGTGAGGAAGGGGCGGGCTGCCGTCTGCCCGTGGGGAAGGGCCAGGCCCTAGGCGCAGGGCCCAGTCCTTACGCCTTACCCATTTCTTACCTCTGACTACCCAAACTGTTCTAAGTTTCTGAGGTCTCCCAGGTGTCTAGGGGTGCTTCTTCAGAGGGGCTTGCTTTGTTCTGAGTGGCCTTGAGAAATGAATTGTGGGGCACAAAGTAGGGCAGGCCTCTCGGTCACCAGATTGTGTCATTGTGCGGTGGACTCGGCCGGTCTCAGCAAGGCACTGGCTTAGCCAGGCCAGGAGCCCTGCTTATCAGATTCCTCAGCTCCGCTGTGGCCAGAGAGGGAGAGGGAGGGCCTGGGAGGCGTGCGTCTTGTTCTTGGTGTGGCCTCGGTCACAGCACTCTGAATAGAGTAATCATTTGGAGGTCACCATGGCATCGCTCCTCGATTGCAGTTGAAAGTACACAGGAGCTCTGCTTTTCCATTCTGCACTTGACTGCGTCACTGCAGGCCACATGGTTACCAGCTGCTTGCCAAGCTTGGAGACACAGAGAGGGATTAGTCAGGCAGTGCAGTGGGCTCCAGGCCGCTGCGTAGCCCTGGGAACTCGGGCCCAACCCACCTCCGAAAGCAGCGTCACAGCAGAGGACCCTCAGCCAGGCTAACATCAGAATCCACACTCGGGCCTCTGAGAGCTCAGGCTCCTATGGGGCGTGTCAAGCTGGCTGCAGGATTTGTCGTTTACCTGTCCCTGTCCCTGTCCCCTCTCCTAGAGAATGAATTTCTGAAATCAGGTGTTACATGGTTCCAGGACCCGGCCTTTAAAGTCCCTGCCAGGCCAGCTTCGACATTCCATTGCCAACCTCACCTGAGCCAGACTTGGTCCCACTCACTCAGTTCAGTGGCTACTCTCTATCTTACATGCTGTTGAGTTCAGCCCAGTGGCCAAGTGAGCAGCACAGGAATTAGGACTGGTTGTCATAAAGCCTTCCACTTCCCTGTGGCTGCTTCCCTAGTCCCCAGGCTTCTTGCTGTGGCGGGGAGACCCTGTCCCCATTCCAGTTCTTGGTGGAGGGCTGTTTTCCTTCCGGAAGAGAACAGATAGAACGGCTTTGCGGATGAGTACAGTACCAGCCCATGGGAGTCACCTGGGTGAAGCCATCTTTGAGCCCGACCCCGGCAAGACCAGCATCTGCAGGCTCCAGCGTCCTCCTCAAGCCTGAGAACCAGCGGAGTGGGGCTGCCCAGCCAGCCAGTCCCCGGGCTCTGTGGGGGCACTCGGGCTTCTCCTCACCAAGGGGAGGTAAGACCAGGCCTCTAGCAACTTGGAGTTGTCTGTAACGACCTTTAAAGGCCCAGAGGCCTGTCCCCATCTCCTGACTATAAGGCATCTGCACCTGTTTCATATCACACGACGGAAACCCGTTCTCATGGCATGTGACATCCTGTGAGAGTGTTGTATATGAGTTTGTATTTTTTAATTCATTTTAATCTACAGGTTGGAATCTAATTTTTAAACTTTATTGGAATTTGCATTTTAAAAGCAAAAATGTTTAAAATAATAATAAACCTTTGACCAGTGTCTTCCAAGTAGTTTGATCAAAGAACTTACAGGTGTTTTCAAAACACAGCCTGGAGTGCAAAGATCGGGAAGCCCCACAGGCCTCGCTTGTGTATATGAAGTGTAAATTTGGTTTGGTTTTGTTGTTTCGGATTCCTTTGGGCTTTGTTTCATTTTGTTTTGAAGATCAGATAGTGATCACTCTGAAAGATTGAAGCCAAGAATTTGTAACTATGATATTTACTGTAAGCTGTAGAACATTCAATAACTATTAAAAAAAGTTTCCAAAAAAAAGTCTGGGTGACCAGACTGGTGGTTCTTGGGGCAGGGGACACAGACCACCCCTGGGCAGTGAGTCCCCTGCGCCTACCTCCAAGTTGGCTCTAAACTTGCTTTCCCCGGTCAGGTAATGCCTGTGCTGCATCTCCCTGCAGGCAGAGTGGGCTGCCCTGGGCCTCAGGTGAGGGGCCTGGGACGGGCCTGGGACGGGGCCATCAGCACCTGGACTAAGGGGTCTGATGCAGGAGCACAGGCAGCCGTGAACGATGGAGGCCGACGTCTCACCGAGTGCCCACCGTACGTGGCTGGTGCGGCACTGTCTGCGTGGTAACTGTCCGCACAGCGCAGTGGAAGTGAGCCCGGTTGTCAGGCCTGTCCTCAGTAGGGACAGCTAAGGAAGGTGAGTACCTCGGCCCAGGTACAGAGCTGGTGAGGGGAGAGTTGGAACTCACGCCTGGCCTGGCCCCGAGGCCCAGGCACCAAGCTGCGTGTCTTCTGCCCACCGCAGCGGCGGCAGTAACTGCTCTTACAGCGGGTGGATTTGTCAGGCAGGCCACAAGGGAAGAAGTTAGGCGGTCTCCATCCAAACGGTCCCCACGTGTTGACGGTTTACGTCCTGAGCATCTCGTCTGTGGCTCCCCTCCGGACAAAGCCACTGTCCTGGTCCCGGGCGGGGCTGCTCTCCCTGGTCATCGTGGCCACGGTTTCCTTCCAGGGCCTGGTCCCTCCAGCCTGTGCTTGCCCAGCCTCCAAGAACTGAGTCTCCTCGAATGGAGAGGAGACAGGCCCGAAGAGGCTAAGGGACATGGCGCACGCTCGAGCCGTGACTAGAATCGGACTCCCGACTCTCCAGCCCTCTCCCCAAACCACCCTCCCAGGCTCCCCTCCGGTGCTCGCCTGGCGTGAAGCTCATTCTCCCCCCTTGGGCTGGCAGCGCAGTCAGGTGTGGGAGGGAGGGTAGCTCTGCACACAGGCAGTGCCAGCCTGGGTCACAGCCCTGCTCCAGGGTGGGAGGGGGTTTTTACCAGGCCCTCGGCTCCAGGCCACAGTGGCAGGGCCGGGGGCCAGGAGCAGGCAGGGAGGCGTGGGACTGGGCCCCGCCATTCTGAGCCCTGGAGGGGACAGGGTGTGGGTGGAGTCAGGCGTGGTCAGCCCAGGGCTGCGGGGATTTAGGAGGGGCTAGTCTAGGAGCAGACGGGACAAGCCAGGATGGCTTCTGGGTGGGGGTGGGGTGACGTCCTGGGGATGTCGGAGGACACACCCCTCCCTTGGTCTCTCAGCTCCTTATCCCACTCTCGGGGTCTGGCCCCAACACCGCCAAGGGACAGGTGAAGAAACACGCCGTCCTTACTGTCTAGCAAACAGAAAAGGGGGTGGTCTGGAGGGAAGCAGTGCTTATTACCTGGGGCCCACCCCACGGAGGGGCGTCCATTACCAGGTGAGGGCATTTAGGGGGCACTGTCCTCACCCCCACGTGCTGCCTCCGCCCTGGGCGAGGTGGGGTTGGTTGGCTGTGAGACGCTGAGGAGCCGCACCCTGGCAGCCCTGCGGATGCTCGCCGGGGGATGCTCGCCGGTCCCCCGAAATGGACGGCCTCTGGTGCTCCAGGAAAGTCCTGACACCCAGCCCTCCCTGCTCCCCCTTCCTAGAGCAGGTGAAGCTTTGTTTCCAGGGTCCTGAGAGGCGCCGTCCCCTCCTGAGAGCCCCGGGGAGAAGTCGGTGGCGCAGAAAGGAGAGGTAGGGAACGCTGGCGTCTCGAGGCACGTGTGCCCAGCCCCCTCGGGAGAACGGCCTCCTGTGGGCCCAGCGGGAGGCAGCAGTGGCCTGGGCGCCCCACAGGAGTCCTCCCCACACCTCCCCCGGTTCCATCAAGGTCACTTGCGGTGCTTCTGCCTCTCCTTGGGCCTCCTTCCAGTTAGTTGTTAAATGTGCCCTCTTTCGTGTTGAAAAAGAAAAAACACCAAACACCAGAAGGACCCAGGCTGAACTGAAAACCCCATCCCTGGAGTCCAGGGCCCCACCAGCTATGGCCTGGCCCACTCGGGCCGCCCCGCTCACGTCTCCCAAACTGGAAACTGGACGCCCTGTCCTTCTGACACCACAGCAGCAGCAGCACTTGGCCTTGTGACCCACCCTGCTCCCCACTTTCTCCTTCCCGGGCTTCCAGGACACTGCCCCTCCTGCCTGCCTTCCCGGAGCAACCCAGCAGTCTGCCCTGAGCCCTTGCCCTGGAACGCGTCCCTGCCCCATCCAGTCCAGGCTGGAGTACCCACGTGAGTGCCTCCAGAGGGTGCCTACCCCAGACCTGTCTCGAGAGTGCTAGGCCTTCACGTCCAGATGCCTCAGCACATCCAGTGGGGCTGTGTCCCGGGTGCCCCAGGACTGCACCTCTTCACCCACCTGGCTGTCCCAGCTGTCCCTAACCCCCAACCTACATCCCATTACTACGCCTGGTGGTGGTGTCCTCAGAATCTATTGGTGGATCCATCCATTTCTGTCACCCCTGCAGCCCGGACCCCAGCCCCTCTTGCCCGGATGTCCCCCGGAGCTCCCACTCCGCACCTGCCAAGGACAAGCTGACCGTGCTTCCCCTTCCCGCATGCTTTAGAAGCCCCGTGGTGTCCCTGGGGTCTGGCTGATGGCTTCCTAGTGCCCACCCTCTCCCCATCCCCCATCTCCACACCTGTCAAGAGGCTTCTACTTCCAGCCGCTCCAACTCCTCGTACTTGTCAGCTGGCCTTTGCATTTCTGTCACCATTCGGTGGAACTTGTTCCCCCTCCACGGGCTCCACCCGCACTGTGTGACCCCATCCACCTTCCGGGCCCCACTCCCTCTGGAGCCGCGCCGTCCAGCAAGGAGCTGCCTGCCCCGGGCGCTGTGAAGCCCTTGAAATTCACTGCTTCGTAATGAGGTGTGGTTTGTGTGTCCAATACACACCAGATTGCAAAGCAGAGATACTAACAGCTCACTCATCACTTTATACTGATTGTGTATTGCAATGAAAACATTATAGACATCGCCTGGGTTAAATAGAATGCATTACTGATATCGTTAAAATTAACTTCACCTGTTTGTTTCTACTTTTTAAAACGTGGTTAATAGAAAATTTTAAATTACATGCCTGGCACACGCTCCATTTCCGTTGGACAGCACCGCCTCTGGGGCTTCCCGGGGAACCGGACAGGGTGACGGGCCCCCTCCCGCCCCACTTCACCTGCTGCCAAAGAGAGGGCACCCGGAGGGCAGGGACGGCTTACCCCACACACAGCGCCACAGGGAGCTGTTCGGCGGACAGACAGATGGCCAGGGCAGAGGCTCCTCGTGATGCCATTATCCCACCTTTTATTCAACAGATGGATGTGGATGGAGACACAAGGACAGGACGACGGCCAAGTCCCAATAAATAAGGAACGGGGGTGACGGGTGGGGGGAGGCCGTGCCTGCACAGCCCCACATAAATAACCAGGTTGCTGAACTAGGGTGCAGACAGACGGGCTGGGCTGTTGCCCGCACTGCCCAGGCTGGCAGACACCAACACCGCAGGGACACGCACCACCTAGGCCTGAAGTGCCTCTCCAGCCTGTCACACCCGCCCCCCCCAAAGCTCCTGACACCCTGGGGGCAGCTGGGCAGGCTGGGGCTCCAGTGCAGCCCCACCCAGATCAAGTCTGTTTTTCAGTTTCAGTAAAAAGAGCAGGGGAGGCAGGCACATGCACGAGCCCCTGTCGGCAGAGGCGTGGACGGGCAGCCCCTTGGGGGCCTTGAAGGTGGACAACCTGGAAGCAGCAAAAGTGGGGCCAGGTAAAGCTACTTGAGGGGGTGGTGAGGAGGCAAGCTCTCCCGTCACGTGACCCAGCCCAGATCCTACGGGGAGCTGGACAGGCCCTGGGCACTGAGACTTCACAGCCAGAAAAGTTTGGACCCAGTGATGTCCAGGGACTTGCCCAGGTTTAGAACCCAGGAACCCAGACTCCCAGCCCACACACTGTCTGCCCCAAGAGGAGGGGAGGCACATCTGCTGGAGGGCCCTGTACTGAGGCAGGCGGTGGCTGATTACCAAGGTGTGGGGCCACTAGTGCCAGGCAGAGGCCTCTTCCCACCATCAGGGCTTAGCCTCCTGATGGTACAGAGGGTGCTGTGGGCCCCTAGGATCTGACCAGGGCCCAGGGTCAAGGGCATCCTGCAGGGAAGCAACTGGGCGACAGGGACGGGTGGGGCTTTCAGCTTGCTCCTGGACACGGTGCCCGCTGGCCGGCCTCCTCACTGGGGCAGACGCTCCCACCTCCAGGCCTCGGTCTCTGCCGTTCTGTCTGCTGGGCCGTGGCTGCTCGATCCTTCCGGGCCCAGCTGCAGCTCCACCTCCTCCAGGAAGCCTTCGGAACCCCCCAGGACAGGCCTGCGGTATCCTCAGACAAGACAGCACCTCAGATGACCAGGTTGCTCTCACTCAGCCGGACCACATAGCGGTTCTCCTGGGGGGCAGGAATGAGGGGCCAGAGCTCAGTCCGGGGGCTCCTGGGCTTCAGGAATGTGGCACCTGCCTGGGGGCCCCTGCACCCCCACCCCTGCCTCATCTGCAGTCAGGGTAGACACCTCACCTCAGCCTTCTTCTCTGCTGGGGGCTTTGGCCACTTAATATGGCTTCCACTGCTTCCCAGCAGTGCCCGCTGCTCAGTGGGGGGGCCAGGTTGTGAAGAGTCAGTGAAATCACCCCCCGAGGGCCCAGCCTCTGTGATGGTCTTCACTTCCGAGGCCAGTGCGTTTGTTCGCTGCTCAGGAATCCGGGCCACACGGAACCTGTGTGGAGAGGTAGCGCAGTCCTCCCCAGTCAGAGGAAGAACCCGGACCAGGAAGACAGTGCCGCCAGGGTCACACGGCAAGTTCGTGGATCGGGGCCTGAGCCCTTCCCCTGCCCTTTCACCCAGTGTTAGACGAGCCCCCAACGCCCCTGACCCCAGGCTGCAGTAGGCCCTTTGCCTAAGGGCCCCGGTGTGGTAAGGGGCCAGGACCCTGCCCTGGGGGCTCAATGGCTCCAGGCGGGACAGCTCAGCTGAGCGGACCTGACTCCCCCCTGGCCCCCCCCACTGCCCAGAGAGGCACACCGCAGCCAGGAAGGGTGGGCCCTCACCAAGCAGAGTATTCAGGGCTCAGCTGAGGGCCCTGCTTCCTCGCCCCAGGCATGTCTCCCCCTGAACCTGCTGCGCCTGTGCCCACCTCACCTGCCCACAGACAAGATGGTGATCTCCCCCTGGCGTCCCGCCTTGTCCCCAGCCTTGGGAGCCCTGGCGGGGTTGGGCAGGAGTCTGGGAGCAGGAGTGGTAGCAGCTGCAGCTTCAGGGGACAGTAGCACCTCGGGCCACTTCTGGCTACAACGGGAGCAGCAAGGGCCGGAGAGTGAGGCCAGACCCTGCACGGTGTGGAGGTGGTGGTGATGCGGACAGATGTGCGGCCTGCTGGGGGGTCCGGGCGGCAGCCTATGGAGGGCACGGGTGGCAGTGGTCACCAGGCCGGGCCAGGACCAGGAAAGGCCACGGGGAGGGGAGGGGAGTTGGGGTGACAGAAGAGGGGGCACACCCAAGTGGTGAGTCCCCAGGAGGCGGGCTGATCAGCTGGGTATGGGCCCTGCTCACCCACCTGCCCACTCACCTGGGCGCAGACATGTGGCTGGTTTGCACCAGCTGTCTGCTGTGATACTCCTTCAGCAGCTCCTCCAGGGCCGCCGCGTTCTCTGCGGACAGCTGAAGTCAGAACCGGCTCTAGGCCGTGAGGGGCACTCGCCCGGGACCCCCACCCTTGCACCGAACCCCCTGCCTGCTCACCACCCGCTCCCTGCCTGGGCCAGGTGCCTTTTCTCCCACCCAGCGCAGCCCCCCTCAGGCAAGAACAGGAGGGAGTGGGGCAGCACCGTCAGCCTCACTGGTGTTAGGGCCCAGCTGGCTCGTGGGGACCTGGCAGGATCTGCCCCCTGAGGCTGCCTCCCAGGCTGTGCCTCCTTCCTGGGCACAGGGATGGTCACGCCCTCCCTCACCCTTCTTCTCCGTGATCAGGCGCACCAGGACCCCGATGGTGTCCTCATTGGCGTCCTCAGCCCGGTAGACGGAGTTGTTCCCTGGGGTCAGAAAAGAAGGACTGAGATGCTGGGAAAGTCCAGACTCTCGAGCTACACCAGGATGTGGCAGCAGAGGGCGCCCCAAGCCTCCCTAAGAGTTAGGCTCCAAGCCCGGGTGTCTATAAACCTGCTCCAGGCCGCAGCTCTGAGATGCTCGGCATCGCCACCTCCTGCACCCAAAGCCCCACTTCCCTGTTGGCCCACTGCAGGGTCAGGGCCACCCAACTCCACGGTCCCTGCGGAGGCTGTGTGCGGGGTCAGGGGCAGCCTGTTCACTGCTCAGCCAGTCCCAGGCCTGTTACCTCCCTGCGTGCCATCCTGTCTATGTAACTAACAGAGGGCTCCTAGGACTCGTACCCAGGTAACAGCCAGTAGTTTGAGTTTGTCCTAGGCTAGGGAGACAAGGGCAGCCAGCCCCAGGAGGGCTGGCCTGAGTTTCCACTTTCCTGCCTACAGCCCCTGCCCTGCCTGTCCCCCCAGACTTTAGTGTCAAGAGGTGGGCAGGGCTCTGGCTGGTCTCAGGCAGCCTGGGGGCAATAAATGTGCATGTAGGGCCCCAGTCCTGCTGGCCTTCAGCGTAGGGGGTGAGGAGAAGAAAAGGGGGCCCACGGCCCTGGGGTGGGAGGAATGCATCTGTCCCTCTGGTCCCAGGACTCGTAACTCCAACTGCAGCCAGGAAACCTCAGCCTCTCCTGGTGCTTGCCCAGGACAGCCCTTCAGGCCAGCGGTCAGAGGTCACTTTGAGTAAGGAGCAAGCAGTCTGACCCCTGATCTACACACAGCTGTAGCCCTGAGGAGTCCAGACCCCACAGCCAGGCGTGGCCCCACCCAGACTGGGATCCCACTAAAGCCACTAGACAAGCCTCTGCTCTGCCCCGCCACCTCGCCAACCTTCCTTCCATCTTGTTGTTTTGCGGTGTCCCCCTCGGTGGCTGGCACACAGCACCTCCAAGAACCGCCCCCAGTCTGCCCTCGGGTGGCCTCCCCCAGTCAGACCCTCCAGGCCGTGCAGGTTCCCTCGGGTGGCCTCCCCACCAGGACCCCGGGCCGGGCCTCACCACTGCCTCCAGCTCCAGGGCCGGGCCCGACTTCCTTGTGGGCCGTGCAGTGGTAGCCCTTCCGCTTGAGCAGGTTGCACACCAGGATGCCCAGCAGCCCCATGAGGCAGAAGATGGGCACGATGGCGATCACCGCGTACTGGGCGGCCGTCTCCTCGGGGCCGCCAGCCCGCGTGCTGTTCCCAGGCTGCCGTGTCTCCCCGGTGCTGCTGGCCCCCGCTGCCACCTCCACACCACGTCGGGTCCGCCATCTCCGCTCTGAGCACCATGGAGGACACAGGCTCAGAGCGAGACGGACGCAGAGAGGGACACACACACACACACAGGCCCAGGGCCCACGTCAGGGGTGTGTGTGTACGTGCATATGAGTGTGTGCGCGCACACGTGTGTGGCGGGGTGCTGATGTGTCCAGAGCCGCCCATGCTGGGGAAGCAAAGGCCAACTCACCTGCAGCCCCTGCTCTGTGCCCATCTGATGAGCCAGCCTGAGAGCAGCGTCCTCAGGCCCCGGAGGGTCAGAGCCTCACCCGCCGTGTGCTCCTCAGGCTGGGCCCTGCCTCCCACACCTGGCCCACGAGTGAGCCGCCTCAGAAGGTGACTTGACTCAACGGGCGAGAGGAGGTGCGTGCGTGCGTGCGTGCGTGTGTGTGTGTGTACAAGCTGATGTGCCCACACTCGTCTGCCTGGGTTTTTAAGGGGTCGAGGCTAGAGGGCAGACAGGTCAGGATGCGAGCCCTCCGGCGGGGCTGCCACCTGCCGGATGGTCTCTGGCACTCAGAGGTGAACAGGCCGACACACAGCCAGTGGGACAATGGCGTTTCCTGCTGGACACCCTCCTGCTGTTTGCCACTCCCCCCCCACAAGCTGAGGAAATGAGGACCCCATGGCCTTGGATAGACCCTGTGGGGGTCCCTGGGCTCAAGCTCACCAGACCCCGCCACATAACCTCACCAGTCATAGCCCCCTGGGCCACTCACCGTCACAGCCACGAGGACCCAGAGGTGTTCGGGAGCATGGCTGGCAGGGAACACGGGGAACCTCTGAAGGAGCAAACCACCTACAAAGGAGAAAAATGTCACCGAGATCCAGAACCTTCCTCAAAAGAGGCTGCACTCCCTACTGGACACGCACACCGGTCCTCACCCACCGGTTTCACAGATGGGAGGGCTGAGGCCCACTCAGGGGCGGGGTGAGGCTGGGACCCCAGGATCCAGAGTCCTGGCCACTCTGCATGAGCCCCCAGCCCCCCTCCGGCTCACCCAGGCTGGCAGCCTCCACACAGTGTGTCCTGAGTTGCTGTGCCTGCCTGGGCCTCCAGCCGCCCTCGAAGGCTGCAGCGGGAGTGGGGCTGGCATGGGCCAGAGCCCCACGAGGCTGAGAAGGTGCCCGGGGGGCAGGACCTGCACAGTGAGCCCCGCCCCGGGTCCTGTGGGAGGGAAAGGGTGAGAACGAATCCCGGAGCCAGGCCTGAGGTCCCTGGGAAGTCCGCCCCTGGCCCTCACGAGCCTTCCCAGGACAGGCAGGTGGGCAGGGCGAGAGCTCACCAGGTCGAGCTCCTCCCCAGGCGGGCACTGCCAAGGGGCCGTTGATGTCGGCGTAGCCAGAGGCCAGGGCAGCAGCTGGAAGGACAATGGGCGGGGCACACTGAGCAGAAAGTGCTGGGCTGTGGCCTCCTGGGGCTGCCTACGCACCACCGCTCCTGATGCCCGGGAGTGGGGGCCGAGGACAGCATAAGGCCCCTCCCCCAGGCTTCAGGGACACCTCTGACCTCAGTCCCTCACGCTGCAGGTTAAACCTGCCCCATGGCCACTGCCAAGGTGGGGAGGACACACGTCTGCTTCTGGGAAGAGCTGGAAAGCCCCAGATGGGTCTGGTCAGGATTGCAAGCCACTGGGTCTCTGAGTCACTCCCCTTCCATCCTCCAGGATGAGGGGAAATGCTTCCGAACTCCTCTCTTCCTGCTGCCTTGCCCCCCTGCCCAGCCCCAAACCACAGCTGGGCCTGTCATCAGCCAGCCTCTGCTCATCAGCCCTGGGCCAAATCAGCAGCTGCCGCTTCCTATTCCAGCCGCTGAGTCTCCAGGACCATGTCGTCCGGGAGCGCCCCACGACGCCCCATGACGCCCGGCCAGCCCGTCCACACTCCTGCACCCACACAGGGCCTGAGAGTCCCGCGGGAAGGTTCTCCTCAATCTGGTTCTGCAGCCCATTCCACAGGGAGCTCTCTGCTTCCCTTTTCAGATATGAAGTGTGTGGCCTGAATCCACCTGCTCTGGGGAGACCCCAGTCCTCTGATTCCGCTCTGGGGGGTGGAGGGGCACCAAGTAGAGCCAGCTGCCCTGAAGGGCGGAGAGAATGCCACACATGAGGCTCCAGGGAACCCCTCAGGGCCCAGATCCAGCTCCCAGCTCCACAATCAGTGTGGGCCAGAGGCACTGCCTAGGGTCAGAACGCGTCACAGGAACAGCTGGGAACTGACCCACCCGACCCGACCCAACTCAGCCGGGGTACACGAGCAGCCCTCACACTGCACCTCCTGAGCCCTGGGGCGCAGGCCTCAGGACTTGGCTCCTCTGACATCCCTGCCCGTCCCATCCCCAACTCACCACAAGGAAGCAGGACAGGGGCCAGTGTGGTGGAGAGGTCAGCTTCATCCTCGGGCCCTGTGGTCCCCAGCCTAGGGCAGACGGAGGGGGCTCAGCAGGAGGCCGCGCCAGGCCTGCTTCTGCCACAGCCCTGGGCAGGCCTCCGCAAGGTGCTGCGGGGCGGGCACAGTGCCAGCGAGGCTTGGCCAGCACTCGCCGCCACCCCTCGCCCCCCCAAGTCTGAGAAGAGGGGGTGCCCTGTGTGGGGCCAGCCTCCCAGGGCAGCACAGACTGACTGGAGGGGAGCAGCAGGGTCTGCCAGGCGTAGGCGGCTTCCCGGAGGAGGACAGGCTTCCTTCCCCTTCCATGAACAGCCAGGTGCGGGGCCTGGGCAGGGGGCCTGGGAGGAAGGAAGCCCGTGGCTGCAGCCCCAGGGATGAGAGAGCTTGCAGTCTCCCACCCCAGTGTCTCAGGCGCCTGCCCGTCAGAGCTCCCTGTGGCGGAGGGCACGCTCACCCTCGGGCTGGCCCTGCCTCTCACCCTTCAAAGCTCAATACAAGCGTCTCTCTCCAGAAGCCTCTCTAGACCACCTTTCCCCAAAGCTGGGTTTGGCCCCCGAAGTTCCTGCCCGTACTGCCCTGACTCCACCACAGTCCTGCCCTCCCGTGTCCCCCGTCCATGCCCTGTTGCCTTCTCCACAGAGGATCGGGGGCAGACCCAAGAGGTGGCCACCATGGCCAGCATGCAGCGTCCATCCTCTCTTGGGTGCCTACTGTGTGCCATGCACAGGAAATAATTGGAACATGAACAAGAGGGACAGTGTCCCTGCCATCAGGGAGCTTGAACCACACGGTGGACCCATGTCCTAGAGACCGAGTGTCCCCCTGCAGTGGGTACCGGCCGGGGCCAAGCCCTCAGGCTGGGACCAGCCTCCTCTCGAGTCTCCCGCCGCCGCGGCTGCTGGCAGGGATCAGACAACAAAAGGGATTGTGGCAAAACCAGGGAGTTCCCGGCGAGGGGTTCCCAGGAGGCCCAGCTTCCGGCTCAGGAGGGCGAGGGGGGCACTGGGGAGCCAAGCCACTGGCCCAGGGCCTCGAGCAGGTTGAGGGGACCTTGCCTGGAGCCCCAAGCCAGCTGAGGCCAAGCCCCTCGGGACAAGCGCTGCCGGCAGTAAAACCCAGGTCACACAAGGGCCCCTCAGCCTGTGGGTGGCCTGGGCTTCCCACCTGGAAAAGGAGCCAGAGGAAAATGATCTGTCCTCGCTGGGTGACAGGCCAGGTGCTTGAGTTACACACCCCAGGAGGGGGAGGGGCAGTGGTCACACCACGGGACTCTCCAGGTCACTGGCAGCGGCTCTCAGCCCAAGGCCAGCTCGGGGTAAAACCTGGGACAGAATGTCGGGCAGAGCAGAGTGGAGGCTGCGCCTGGCAGTCAGCGCCCCTCAGCTGAAGTCCCCAGGCCCTGCCGCGCCCCGCCCCCCTCTGCCCAGGTCACACGTCTTCCTTTCCAGTTCCCGCCCCAAAGTGGGCCTTCGCCCCACCTGCACAGCTCCCCTTCAAGCCCACCTCCCCATGGCCCCCTGCTCCTCATAGGATCGAACCCACAGACCTGCCCACGAGCCCCAAGTCCCCAGGCTGGTCCCCAAACCCTGCCCATCCCCAGACCCAGCACCCCTCCCTGTTGCCAGGGCGGTCCCAGAGGGTGAGGTCAGGAGTGAAATGTAAGAGGCACTGCAGCCACAGAAGAGACGGCCCCTGGCCCACCCCTGGCCCCGTGGGCACCTGCTGGGCGACCCGAGCCCTCGGGGAGAGCTGGGCAGCTGCTCATCTCCAGGCAGACAGGGCGCTGTGATCTCGAGGCCTCCAGGAGCAAAGTGAGTGTCTGAAGGCCCAGACGCAAAGCCAGCGTGGACCCACTCAGGCACATTCACACACGCTCCGGGCTTGGCCCTGCCGCCTTCCAATTACCTACCTTCTAATTACCGGAAACCCGCACTTACTCCAGTCTAGCCCCCAGTCTCTGCTACGGCTGCTCCCCAGCCCCACACTCGGCCCAGACTGAGCTCCCGGTGGGCCTGCCCGGTCAGGCAGCCACCAGCCAGCCCCCTGGAACGCTGTGCACACGCAGACACACCTGCGGCTCTGGCCTACTCCCCCACCCCCACCTGGCATCCCCTCTGCACTGGGAACCCACCGTCTAAGCTCTGAGCACTAGAACCTCCATCAACGAGCCGGTTCAGATGGAAGCCCCTTCTGCAGAGCAAGTGGGGGTCTGAGAGGGCTCCACCTGAACCCCACTGCCTTGTCCTAGAGGCTGAGCAGTCGGTGACTTCCCGAAACTTCCTAGAGGGGGCAGGGGGCCCAACCAAGGCCCTGAGAAGGGCTGGGATGCAGCCTTGAGCCTCCTCTCCCTGCCCGGGTGCCCCTGGCAGAGGAGAACCCCATGGGGCCCCAGGGCAGAGAAGGAAGTTGGCTTCGAGGCCACTCCTCTCTGAGCAAAGCCTCCTAGCTGGGGCCCCACCAACTCCCGAGGGACCCGAGCCCCGACTTCACCTCCTTGGGTCTCAGCCCCTCATCTGCAGCATGGGGACATCACCTGCCAGGGCCAGGCCGTGTGAGGTTTAAATGAGGTGAGGAGCCTGAAGTAGGTCGTGGGAGTTCCTCCCCAGCCCCTTCTTTCCTGCTGCACCTCCTGCCCAGGCAGGTAATTAAGCATTCGTTTGCTTGCTTGTTTATTGTTTACCCCCCCACCAGACAGCACCAGGGGTAGGGACGCTGTCTCATTCACCACAAAACCCTCCCCGGCCCACGTCTGGGGCGGGAGGGCTCCCCAAAAAGGCTCATGGGAGCAGGGGCTTCCTCATACTCAGCCTACCCCTACCCTCCACAAAAATACCCGAACAATTAGAACCAGAAATTCCCTGGAGGAAGGCCAGCTAACAAAGCCCTGACCAGGGCCCCAAGCCAGAGACGCGGAGCACCAGGGAGGTGCAGCCCTGGGGGCTGCACAGAAAGAGGAAGCTGTGCCGCTGGCCTTGCAGCTTCCCCTTTCCCAGAACGGCAGCAGGGGCGGTGGGCGGCGCCCAGCCTCCCCCCAGCCTTCGCGTCAACGCCACCAAATGCTGAAGGTCTCCCAGCCCCGTGCCCACCCCGTGGCCTCCGGTTCACCCTGCCTGCCGCCCAGGAGCCTGGTCTCATGATCTGGCCCCGCCCCCGCCCCGCCCCCGCTACCCTGGGCCCCTTGCAGCCCCCACAGGTGCCTCGCTCATCCCAGCGCACTGGTCGGTATCTGTTTCTTCTGCCCAGAAACCCCTCCCATCACCAGGGCAACACCTACTCTTCCTTCAGAGCCCTCAGCTCAAAGTCACTTCCTCCTGGAAGACCCCCACCACCTCCCCTTCTGCACTGACCACCCTGCGTGGGGCCCTCCTCACTGGCTGCTGCCCTCCGGGCCCAGCGCCCAGCACAGGGCCTGGCACCGGTGTGTGGGGAGGTGTACGTGAACTCAGGAGGTGCGGGGCTGGGGTCAGAAAAGGCACTCTCGGGACAGGGTCCAGCTTCTGCCAAGGCTGGGAGGACTGGAGAACAGGTTAATGGTTAAGGAGTCCGAGGCTGGGCTGAGGAGGGGGCCTGAACTGGACCTGAAGCCCGGGACTGACTAACTCAGGGAGACCAGCCTGGCCTGCTCTGCTCTGCTCCTCACTGGTGCTACTGCTGCGGACCCTCTTCCACCACGCGGAGGGCAGAGGAGGGAATGCACATGAAATACATACTCAGCACAAGACCTGGTACAAAGTAGGCTTTCAAACAGCAGTTGCTGCGCCTGGGCCTCCCCATATGTAAATTGTGAGGGAAACAGCAGACACTGACAGGCGGGTATAAGGTATAAGTGAAACTCGCCTACATTACGTACACTGCTTGGCACAGGGTCCGGTGCCTAGGAGGGGCCGTGGGCCAGGGTGAGAATCTGGGAGGGAGGAGGGTGCAGGAGGGGAGGGGGCCTGGGGAGGTGGGTGGGCAGCACCTAGGTCACGCACGCCAAACCTGGCTGCAAGCTGAGAAGCCTGCCCTCCCCTCAGGACCTGCTGGAGCCCGGGAGGGTCAGCAGGGAGGGGCAGGCATGGAGTAACTGTCTCAGCGGGCTCCCTGCCAAGGGAAGCTGGGGCGGGAGGCGGGTGCTCACCTGGGGCAGGGAGGGGAGGCGGGTCGTTCTGTTTCCCAGCCACAGCTCTAGGGCCTGAGGACCACCCTGCCGCCTCCAGAGGCTAGGGTTGCCTGGAAACACAGCTGGACCTGGTCCCCCGCCCCTCGGCAGTGGCTGTGCCAGAGGCAGGAAGACAAAGGCCGCCCATCAGTAGAGAAATCCAGGTTAGCGGGAGCCCAGTGGTTCCCTGGCAACTGGGGCTGAAGTAGGGCAGTGCCCGCAGTGGCGGCGGTGAGTGCAGCTAGGATGTCCTCCCGTCCTCCTCACAAGGAAGGGAAATGCCCCTCGTGCCTGTGGGCCCGGCCCTCATCCTCACGGGAGAGGTGACCATCCCTGTTTCACACCTGGGTAAACTGAGGCTGTGGGAGGTCACTGCTTCCCACCCTCCCTGGAGCCTGGCCCAGGCCCTGACACACAGCACATGCTCTCGGGGCATCTGCCAACCTGACGGCAGAGGCCAGGCAGCCAGGGGATGCAGTAAGCAGGGGGCTACTGCACAGAACCCCGAGAGCCCAGGAAGAAAGGTGCGCCCCACCCCGGGGTCTCTGGGCATCTGGGGGTTCCCTGTTTCTGTGCTTGTTCCCACTCCACCCCAGGGCTGCCAGCTCCAGGGGAAGGGCACTGTGAGGAGGAGGAGCCCAGGGAGGACTGGGAGCTCCCGCGGAGGAAGCAGAGATCCTGGGGCAAAGGCCTGCTCCCTAGGGCTGCCGACAGGCTGGGGCCCGGAGACCCGCTGGGCTGCCTCAGGGCCCCTCAGCGAGACCGGCGCCTGGTTCCCACCCCCACCCCAGCCTTGGGCAGCTATGATGTCCCAGCTCACAACCCTGGAGTGAGGACTCCGTGCCTGCTGGCCCCTAATCCTGCTCCCTGGCCTGCCCCCAGGGGCTGGGCATGGTTCTCCCCTCAGCGAGGTGCAGTGGGCGGGTGAGGCTGAGGGGACTAAGTGGTTCTGAGGCTACAAAAAAGGCTGAGGCAGCCAGAGGGTCCTGGCCAACTTCTCCTGGTCTGGGGTCGTGAAGATCTACCCCTGCCCCTTCTCTGGGCCGAGACAATGGTCCACAACCAGACAGTTGTTTGGGGCAGAGCCGGGACTCCCCACCACCCACACTAAGCACTCACTGCACACCTCCTTCCCTTCCCAGGCCGGGTTTCACTGACCCCTCACAGACAGGGCCCCGGGCTTCACGAATGAGGAAACCAGGCTCAGAGACTGAGCAGTGAGTGCTACGTAACATCTCACTGCCAAAGTTGACAAGGTTGGCCCAGCCCGAGGGGGAGTGGGCAGCACACCACCCCCAGGCCTGGCAGCCCCCAGCTCCTGCAGGCCCTGGTCTGCCCCCACTGCACCCCTTAGGGCTGCGGGCTCCCTGCTCAGGCCACACAGGGAGGCTGGGCTGCCCTAGGCTGTCTCCCTTGGCCCCCACGACCGGGTGGCAAGGGGCCTAGGAGGGCTGGACGGCACCTCACTGCCCTCCCACCTGTGCTGTTGCTTCCTCCTCCTCTGAGAAGCCACCTCGGCCTTGGCCACACAGCTGGGGTCAAGTCACTAAGGTGCCAGGGCGACCCAGAATCTGCTCAGCACAGGCCTTGCTCTGTCACCCCAACCGGGCTGACCTGGCTGAGGACTAGTGAGACTGACGGCAGACTGAGCACAGCCCCCGCCTGCCCCGTTCTGTCTCCTCCAGACTTAGTGTGCTGGGGACAGACACCTTCCCCCACCCTCCAGCAACCCCTAACCAACAGAGCCTGGCGTCAGCATGACAGCAGAAGGGGGTGGGTGCTGGGCAGCCACACCTGGGTTCAAGCTGTGGCTCAGCACCGAAGGTTCCATGACCCTGAGCAAATTACTCACCCTCCCTGGCCTTCAGGGTCCTCCCCTGCAAACAGAGACGCTCCTCCCTGCCTCTAGGGGCGCTGAGGGGTAAGCGGAGCCACAGTAAACAGTGCTGGCCCCGGAAAAGCCAGGCCTCTGCTCCGAGTACTGGTTCTCACCACAGCCCACCAGGTGCCAGGCTGAGAGTGGATCGGTGTCCATCCAAGGTCACCCAGTGGCTCCGGAGTGGGCAGGGGTGCTTCAGGGAACCCAACGTCAGTCCCAGTGGCATGGGGGGCGGAGCCTTGGCCTCCCGGGGAAGACCCTGGGTGCCCATTTCCCAACCCCATATGGGCCTGTGGACACCTGCTCCAGGCCAGCTGAGTCACGGGAAGGTTGAGGAGGGGTGCTGAGTGGTCGGCACCCAGCCCCACGTCTCCGAGCCTCAGTTTCCTCCTCTGTAATTTCGGGCAATCGCGCCTACTCAGCTGACCTCCTGGCCTGCCAGAGGATCCAGAACTCACAGGGGAACAGTGGCTCTTTTTACAATCAGGCCTTAGCCTGGGAACCACCCCCTGCAAGAAGTCCTCCTTGCCGGGGTGGACCCTCCCCTCCCCCGGCCCCTTCAGCCATCATTGTGTGTGGTCTCCCCCAGGGGAGGGAGGCAGGGGGGCACATGCAGGAAACTGGGTGCCCTGCAGGACCAGGGGCTGCGGGCTCCCAGGTCCCTCCCTGAGCTCCCTCTTCCTCCGCCCAATGAGGAGGTCCCAGCTGATGCCCCTCCCTCCTGGATGCCCCTCCTCCCACGCTCAGACCCCGCCTCTAATTGGCTGCAGAGGCCCCTCCACCACTTTCCGTCTGTGCCAAGTAGCCAGGGCACATACTCAGGGCCACATGGGCAGTTTATTTATAGAGCTCTCATCTTTCCCAGGGTGGCCCAGGGAAAAGCTCTGGCCTCCCAGGCATACTGACGTGGGTTAGGATCCCAGTGGCACCAGGCTCTCGTGTGGCCATTCTCCTCTCTGGGCCTTCCTTCCCCTGCTGGGACCTGGAGGGGACTGTGGGCCCTCTGGGCAAAAGGCTGAGGATGTGAGAGCCTCAGGTCCTCATCCCAGGGCTGGACACACAGTGGGGACACAGCACGGGCTTCCTCTTTTCTTCCCTGTCACCCTAGTCCCAACTGATGGCACTAAGCCTAGGCCCCGGCACCCATGGGCTCATGGCAGCCAGAACTTAGAGAGGGTGCTAAGTTCTGCCACAGACCACGTCCCAGCACCCAGGCGGGCAAGCACAGCCTCGCCAGGGTGTGCCGTTGTGCATCCTGAGTCCCAGCACTGAGTGGGAATGGGGCTGAACAGGCCCCTCGAGCTGGTCTCAGGCAACGCTGGGAGGAGGGCTGGCCCTGTGGCAGAGGGCGCCTGGCCTTGCCCAGCCAGGACAAGCACTGAACAGCCCCTCCATCGCTTCCTCCCCCACTGCAGGCAGCCCGCCTGCTCCTTCTGTGATGGTCCCACGGCCCTCACCTGGGGGCTGGGCATACGCCTGAGCGCCAGGCTCTGGCACCAGTGGTCATGTGCCTCAGTCTAGGGCAGGTCCCCTCTGCTCTTTGAGTCTCAGCTCCCAGTAAGCAGTGTGGGAAGGGGCGCAGGTCCCTATCAGTGCTGCTCGAGGTTCCCCAGGCCCGGGGCCCGGTGCACAGCAGGGCCTCTGCTGCGAGTGTCCTCGGCTGACCCAGAACAAGGGCCGTGCCTGAGGAAGACCCAGGGCAAGCCCCAAACTTGCCCTGCCCACCATGTAGCCTCAAGTCTTCACCCCACCCCACCCTCACAGAGACCCTGCAAACCTCCTTGTGCACCCCAGGACACAGGGACACCCTCAGAGGCCCAGCCAGCACAGACAGGGCAGCAGGAGCAGGCAGGCGGTTCCTGGAGGTGATCCGCACCTGTGCCTGTTCCCAGAGGTGAGAAGGACACCTGCCAGGTGAACTGCAATGATGAAGAGGGACTCGCATTGGGCAGGGAGGGGGTTCCTGGGTCTTTGAGGGGGGCTGGGGCTGTACTCTGAATGGCCAGGAGGGTTCTAGC